GCAGTTGTTCAGATCGATGAGAACAAAGACTGGTTAAACCTTGCAAAGTCACAATTTCAGTTTTTATCGGACTTATGCACACTAGCTAATAAAACGGCCAATAATGCTATCGAGGGTTTTCTCATGAACGACTTAATTAGCTTGAATGTTATTGTCAAAGATGACTTTAATAAACAATTCAATGCAATATTGATTGAATTCTTTCGTTCAATAACAGTTGAATTTGCTGAACTTATTAAAACAGTTCGCCTAGTCATTCAAGTTGATCAACCTTTTAATTCTCAATCAACACCAATCCAAGGCAAAAGCTTATTAAACTTGATTGGAAATGAAGTCATATCCGAAGAAGATAATCAATTATTGTTGAAGGTACGTCATAAAATAAAACGAAAGAATGTCTTTTATAATTTTTACTGATTTTTATTTCTATATTTATTACTTAAGAGAACAATAGAAGCTTATTTGCTTTTTCAGGTTGATTTTGGTTTAAACGCGTTTCCTAGCACAAATACAAGTTCTCGCAAATGCATTTGTGCAACTAACAAATACTGTCGACGTTCACTTGTTCTCCATCAAAACGAGCAACAGGTATTATCTGATATACCTGCATACGATTATGCATTATTAAACAATGTCGAAGGTTGCTTTTCTATTGATTCACTTTTCCTATCAACAGTTGAATGTCTTCATCTACATTTCAATTGTTCTACAATTCTAAGAAAACTACTTAAAACTTTCTACACTGGATTGATAGAACGTCCATGGAATGACGCTCGCCCATTAGTTTATGACGAAAAATCAAGCAAATTTCCACCAAATAGTTCAATCGAATTAATAGTTGAAAATGTAATGATCGAAAAATGGAATTCATCTATATCATACACGAGCTATTATAAGTCATGTGCTCCAAAGTTTTGTACTTGTTCTATTGAAGTTCGTGCAACTCTTATCCAAATTTTAACTACAATAGTATCTATGATCAGCGGAATTACTATTGCATCGCACCTTCTTACGCCATACCTGGTTAAATTTTTGCTTTCATTAAAAGCATTTAAATTTACAAGACAATCAACAACACGTCTTCAAGTAACCCAAGGTAAATTTCTTAAATTTCTAATCTCTTCCTTCATACTGTTCTTTGATATAGTTCCTGTGAAATTCTTCGACAAAGTTATTAATATCATGAAAACATTCTTCAAACATCTAAACAATGTATTAATCAATCTGAATATATTTCATAAGCGAGATTTTGGAACAGATACTGATCGAACAACTGCTAAATGTATTGGTCAATGGGCCACTCGTATCTACTTTATTTTACTTGTCAGTGCACTTAGCGGCATTGCTTTATATACGATCACTGAACCGGATACGCTAACAAATGCATTCAATGAACCAACATTCGATTCATATAATCATCTAAAACATAAGTATGATGATAAATTACGGTGTTCTTGTTTATCAATTAGTTCAACATATAAACAGTATGTTACCATTGTACCAATATTCCATCAGGTAAAAAGATCAATATNAACGAATTGAATAATAGGAATATTTTATGCAAATCCACGTCGAATTCAATGATTGCAAGGTTTGAGTAAATTATTTTTGTTCTCATTCTTTTCATAATGATTTCTTTCCACTTATTATTATTATAGAACAATTCAATCGACGGAGCAGTTTTCGTGCAAGATTCTTTTAAAATGGATGCTGGCCGTAGTAATAGTAATATTAACTCTAACGATATTTTCTATCCTTTTTGCTCGATATCAATTTACAAAAGAAACCACTAGTACGGGTTTAATCTTTCTAGGTATGAAATAACCAGTAGTTTCCGTTTTTGTTTTTAGCAATACCAACAAATATGACAAATTCTACTATCAATAATAGTAAGTAAAAACCTCTCATAATGATTAGTGAAAATGACTTAAATCTATTATAAAATTCTTTTTCTATAGATTGTTCGATAATATTCCAATCAAGATCAATTTGCAACTGGATTATCTCACCAATTGACACTCAGATACATGTTGCTGATATGAACGATGATTTGCACAATGATATCATTATTTCATCTTCTCAATCAAATGAAATATCTATTTTATTTGGATTTAGTAATGCAACAATTGAAAATAAAAAAATATCTCTGAATACAACCGTACGTTTTCTACTTATTGGCGATTTTAACAATGATAAGTGTCTTGATTTTATGATAAACAGCGGGAATAACTTTATCGATGCTTATTTGGGAAATGGTAATTATGAATACAGTTCACCGATCAGTACTATTCTTACCGATTTTCATATTGAAATACTGAAGTTAGATATGGGTGATTTCAATCATGATAATATTTTAGACCTTGCGTGTTTAAATTCTTTTGATACGGTAATTATAATGATCGGATCTGGTAACGGATCTTTCCCTACACAAAATGAGATTCATATACCGGATCTTTTGTTCAAAATGTTTGCGGGCTCGTTTGCTATCACTGATGTCAACAATGACAGTCACCTCGATATAATCACTGCTGGTATCTTCATGAACCAGATAGGCGTCTTCATACTTTTTGGAAATGGTCAAGGATTATTTAACGTAAAGATGTTTCCTACCCAATCTTCTTTTTTACCTATTCATTCAGTGATTGTAAATGATTTCGATAACGATGCTCTATCGGATTTTATTATTTTTTATCAATTTAGACCTATAATTAAATTAATAAGTAATATCGACTATCAACAACTAGATCTAACGTTGGAATATATTATCGATACTGGTTTGATTATAGCCCATCCTATTCGTATAGTTGATTTTGATGGAGATGGTTATCAAGATATCATTGGACAAAATCCTATAACGAATGGTATAGTTGTGCTTTTTGGAAATGGATATAAATTTTTTAAAAACATGACCATTTTTACTGGAGAAAATCCCATTGAAAGTCATCCTTTTGTTGTGAACGATTTAAACAGCGATAATTATAAAGATATAATAATGTATAATCCATCTAATCAAACTATCGATATTATTTTAAGCACAAATCAATGTTGAAACTTTAATTACTCTTACAAATATTTATTAAATACATTCTTTCAAAGAAAAATTCTCAAGCTATATAATGATTTTGTTTCTATNTTAATCCATAGAGAGAAATAGCTATAAGTACGTTCGTACTTCAAAGTTTGAAAGTACACAGTTAAATACATATTGTTTTGAATAAGAATATATTTCGAGTAAGTATAGCTCAGTGATATAAGTTCGCGACTTTTGATCACGCAAATTAAAAATTCAATTCATAGGCTAGAGTAAACTAAGACTATCAGGATATAATGAGAATAGCGACTCCGTTCGACTCTAAGATGAATTGATAGATATTTTGCCTAATTTTTAAATTTAAATAAAATGCATCTTTACTAAAAATGTTCACATGGACAGCTTTCGTTTCGAAAAGCCTACTTATATTCGAAACTAGACTCGGCAGTTACCGAGAAGTAGTGTGTTTTCTAGAGCGTATGCACAAATAGCTTTTATCAAATGCATTAACTTTCTCTCCCTCGTTCAAATATTGAATCTGTAATTTTAAAACAGATGAGAAAAATAAGGGTGAAAGTATGATGGTACATAATGATGCTAGACTCGAAATCACACTGAATCGATATATATCAGACAGAATTCGATTACTTCCGACCAAGTTTGAAACGTTATTGGAATAATTGGTACTGGGAATTCGTTTTAATCTCTGGAAACATTGCCCTGCCACAAAATAAGGTCTTTGAAAGAAAAAGTGTATTTTCTCTCCACTATGCAATCTTCACTCAATTTCGGACTGGGTATGATAATACCATTTAGAACATTGTAGGATCATAACAAAAGATTTTTTGATGATTTTCATTTAATTCTTTTCGTATCTGCAGAATACAAACTATCACTTATTTTCAGATGAAAAAATTTCGTTAAATACTAATTTACTTGTTGAATTTTTTATTTATTTGTCGAGATGTGTTTGAAATATTTCTTTAATTATCTCTACAAGCAAATCCATGCTTACAATCTTTTCGCGACTGAAGCGGATATCGGTAACGATAACGACAACAATCAATTAGAACAATCAACAACTATTCTTCAACATCAAAAGTATTCAACTTGGTTATATGTTTTACTTGTGCTCAGTAAGTGACACCGAAAATTTTTCTCTTTAAAATATGCTTCAACGATCGAGAAAAAGTCGGACATCCTATTGATTATTTATCTTTTAGCTTCGCTCTACATCATCTTTTACATCGCTTTATTACAGCCGCATCCACAAAAAATTGCTGTTCTTCATCTCACTCCAAATGCCGTTGAACAACTTCGATTGAAGCATTCTTCAACTCTGACATGTCCATGTACAAAAGCTAACATACCCTATAAAACATTCGTTACCACTGTCATTACATTACATCCTATTTGCTCAAGTATTTTTGTCACTGATCAATGGATTCGAGCATTTTATATTAATAATACTAAACAATATCATTATCTGAGTTTCCAGAGGACAGCTTATGCTCAAGTAAGTCAATATTCTATCTTCAGCAATTTTTCTTTGAGTATAAAAAACAATAATAAACAGGTAAAATGTTGTATCGCGTTATTAGAATTAAAGGATGCAAATTTTGTGGGGAAATCGCATTGAAAACTCGTCTATTAGAGTTGAAAGGTTTACATAAACGATACTCTATTCGATATATCATGTTCAAAAATGACTACTTTCTATTTAGTTCAAACTTCTGGCGAATCTATGTACCTTCTGTAATAATATAAAGGAGCAACATCAAATTGATTTACGCAATCGAGAACTTGTTAGTGTCGAACTTTTGTCCGAGAAACAATTGCACACTCAAATAAAATCTATCGTTGAATACTCCAAGCATAGCACAGCTACGCGAATTATTTCATATATAGACTATCTTAGAACTACAACCCGTACGAATCGCTTTATGTTAATGTCGGAGACTAATGCGCATGTTGATTCTTCTCATACTACAGATTCACCGGAACAAAAGTATGTTTTTACCGCACTTTGGAATTTACTTCTGGAGATAGCTCCGACGGGCGATTCTACATGTTATGGAATGAATAAACATCCGTTGTTCGAATCAATACTAACGGCACTGACTGGGCATGCGGTGAGTATTCATCATTTATGTAACGTATATCAATATACACAGAAAATGATCGTTTCTTTGTATGTCCGCTATGCAATCAGTCGCTGTCTTAAATATTGTCTTGGAGATGAGAGTATATGTAAGATTTTGATATTAAGGGTTCGAAATTGAGAATAGATGCGTACGATAAGAGGAGAATCTGACATTTTGGAGATTTTATACCTACTTGAAATTTTCATTTTCTTTAAAACAGCACCCAATCAAGGGATTTTTTCAAGGATGTATTGTATTCGACGCGTTTCTTGCTAACAAACTCAGTTGTTTTTCTGATGATGATTGTTTAAACGTATTGAACACTTATTTTCCGACACCTGAAGAAGTATGTATACGACTTGTCTTCAATATTGTTTTTTGTTTATATTAAACCTTTTCTTATTAAAGATACATTGGAACGTAACAAACTATATTCTCCCTGTACAAGAACAAAATAATACTGTGTATGATTATTTACGCCAAATTTTTATTAATGAATGGCTAACGAATGCAAATTATTCAATTTATTTTGAAACATGTGCACCAGCGTATTGTACATACAGTGCAACACAACAGACAAAATTTTTTGGTGCACTGACTCTTATAATCAGCCTTTATGGTGGTCTCATCCTTATTTATCGATTATTAACACCAAGTATAATTGAGATTGTAATGAAAGTTAAAAATCGATCAACTAACAATCATAATAATCGAAGTATTTATTATCTTTTTCTGAAGAAATTGAAAATAGTATTGACTTTTTAGTACATTTGCGAACATGTCCACGATATTTTGTTGACTGGCTGAAACAAATAAATTTATTTGCGACTAATGCTGATCGAACAGAAGAAAATATCGCACAAGAAAAGATTATTACACGTGTTCACTTAATCTTATTTTCAAGTATGTTTATCTTTACTCTATAGAAAATAATTATGTAATCTTTGCCATGTTTGATTTTTCCACTACTAGGTGCGTTTATTATTATTATTTTATCTACTTCACTGAAAAGTCAAACAGTGACAAAGATTATATCAGATCCAGCATGGGATGATTATAGTTATCATCAATTATCATGTATGAACAAACTGAAATGTCCATGTTCGTCGATAACGACATCTTATGACAAATTTATCACATTATCTGTAATTTTACATCGTATATGTTCGAGTGATTTTGTTACCGAACGTTGGCGTTCCATTTTGAACAGCTTGCTTGTTTCTACCAATGAGAACAAAGACTGGCTAAACCCTGCAAAGTCACAATTTCAGTTTTTATCGGACTTATGTATACTAGCTAATAAAACGGTCAATAATGCTATCGAGGGTTTTCTTATGAACGACTTAATTAGTTTGAATGTTATTGTCAAAGATGACTTTAATAAACAATTCAATGCAATATTGATTGAATTCTTTCGTTCAATAACAGTTGAATTTGCTGAACTTATTAAAACAGTTCGCCTAGTCATTCAAGTTGATCAACCTTTTAATTCTCAATCAGCACCAATCCAAGACAAAAGCTTATTAAACTTGATTGGAAATGAAGTCATATCCGAAGAAGATAATCAATTATTGTTGAAGGTACGTCATAAAATAAAACGAAAGAATGTCTTTTTATAATTTTTACTGATTTTTATTTCTATATTTATTACTTAAGAGAACAAAAGAAGCTTATTTGCTTTTTCAGGTTGATTTTGGTTTAAATGCGTTTCCTAGCACAAATACAAGTTCTCGCAAATGCATTTGTGCAACTAACAAATACTGCCGGCGTTCACTTGTTCTCCAACAAAACGAGCAACAGGTATTATCTGGTATACCTGCATACGATTATGCATTATTAAACAATGTCGAAGGTTGCTTTTCTATTGATTCACTTTTCTTATCAACAGTTGAATGTCTTCATCTACATTTCAATTGTTCTACAATTCTAAGAAAACTACTTAAAAGTTTCCACACGGGATTGATAATAGAAAATCCATGGAATGACGCTCGCCCATTAGTTTATGACGAAAAATCAAGCAAGTTTCCACCAAATAGTTCAATCGAAGTAATAGTTGAAAATGTAATGATCGAAAAATGGAATTCATCTATATCATACGCGAGCTATTATAAGTCATGTGCTCCAAAGTTTTGTACTTGTTCTATTGAAATTCGTGCAACTCTTATCCAAATTTTAACTACAATAGTATCTATGATCAGCGGAATTACTCTTGCATCGCAACTTCTTACGCCATACCTGGTTAAATTTGTACTTTCATTAAAAGTATTTATATTTACAAGACAATCAACAGCACATCTTCAAGTAACCCAAGGTAAATTTATTAAATTTCTAATCTCTTCCTTCATACTGTTCTTTGATATAGTTCCTGTGAAATTCTTCGATAAAGTTATTAATATCATGAAAACATTCTTCAAACATCTAAACAATGTATTAATCAATCTGAATATATTTCATAAGCGAGATTTTGGAACGGATACTGATCGAACAACTGCGAAAAGTATTGGTCAATGGGCCACTCGTATCTACTTTATTTTACTTGTCAGTGCACTTATCGGCGTTGCTTTATATACAATCACTGAACCAGATACGCTAACAAAAGCATTCAACGAGCCAACATTCGATTCATATAATCATCTAAAACATAAGTATGATGATAAATTACGGTGTTCTTGTTTATCAATTAGTTCAACATATAAACAGTATGTTACCATTGTACCAATATTCCATCAGGTAAAAAGATCAATATATTATGAAAAAGTATTTGTGATTTTTGAATAGATTTGTAAGAGTCAATTTATTTCGGAGAAATGGCGAGATGATCTCACGAGAGATATTTTTTCTAATTTATCTATTTATGATATAAAAGATTATCGTCGTTTTCTATCGGCACATTTACAATTTCTTCAAGGATTGTGTGAACTTTCTATCGAATCAGTAAAAACATCAATTGATCAATTTCTTAGCTCATTCCTTGTTACTACTGAACTTTTGTCCGAAAGCGAATTTCAATCACGCATTCATTCGAATATTTACCAAATGAAATCCAAACCTAAGAATAAAATTGCTCAAATACTTCATTTAATTCGATATATCAACCATGGAAATGGAATTATTTCTACATATGGAACTAATTTTCAATATGTTGGTACTCGGGAAGAAAGTGCCGACTTTTTTATAAAAATTATAAGTGTAATTTATGATAATGAATGTTCTTGTGCAATGCATCACAATTGCACGACCCAAGCAAAATTTCTGCAAACAAATTCGACGGAAGCTACTTTAATCGTAGGTTTGAAAATGGGGTGTACACCAAGTGAGTCGTTACTTTCTTCTACACTTGAATGTTTCTTTAACTCATCATGTATCAAATTAATTCAAAAATACGCTAGCAATCAGATGTCAAACGACTCATTTGCTCCTCTGTCTACTACAAATATGAAACGGTTTTCTACCAACGCAACTGTAAATGAACTTATTAATGAATTGTTCGTTGAAGATTTGAATACAACAACAGATTATTTATCTTATTTTCAGCACTGCAAAATTGAATTTTGCTCATATACTTATATACAAAAGCTTAATTCATTCTACACATTAACACTTTTGATTGGTTTTCAAGGTGGTCTGACGATTGTTCTTCGATGGCTCACTCCTAAATTAGTTAAAATTATACTTCAAGTCTATCGGTATCGAAAGAAACAAAGAATTATTGTTCAATCTAACACTACTATTCAGATAGCATCCAATGAATTAAATAATAGGAATATTTTATGCAAATCCACGTCGAATTCAATGATTGCAAGGTTTGAGTAAATTATTTTTGTTCTCATTCGATTCATAATGGTTTCTTTCCACTTATTACTATAATAGAACAATTCAATCGACGGCGCAGTTTTCGTGCAAGATTCTTTTAAAATGGATGCTGGCAGTAGTAATAGTAATATTAACTCTAACGATATTTTCGATCCTTTTTGCTCGATATCAATTTACAAAAGAAACCACTAGTACGGATTTGATCTTTCTAGGTATGAAATAACCAGTAGTTTCCGTTTTTGTTTTTAGCAAAACCAACAAATATGACAAATTCTACTATCAATAATAGTAAGTGAAAATTTCTCATAATGATTAGTGAAAATGACTTAAATCTATTATGAAATTTTTTTCTATAGATTGTTCGATAATATTCCAATCAAGATCAATTTGCAATTGGATTATCTCACCATCTGATACTCATATACATGTTGCTGATATGAATGATGATTTGCACAATGATATCATTATTTCATCTTCTCAATCAAATGAAATATCTATTTTATTTGGATTTAGTAATGCAACAATTGAAAATAAAAAAATATCTCTGAATACAACCATACGTTTTCTACTTATTGGCGATTTTAACAATGATAAATGTCTTGATTTTGTGATAAACAGCGGGAATAACTTTATCGATGCTTATTTGGGAAATGGTAATTATGAATACAGTTCACCGATCAGTACTATTCTTACAGATTTTCATATTGAAATAGTGAAGTTAGATATGGGTGATTTCAATCATGATAATATTTTAGACCTTGCGTGTTTAAATTCTTTTGATACGGTAATTATAATGATGGGATCTGGTAACGGATCTTTCCCTACACAAAATGAGATTCATATACCGGATCTTGGGTCCAAAATTTTTGCGAGTTCGTTTGCTATCACTGATGTCAACAATGACAGTCATCTCGATATAATCACTACTGGTATCTTCATGAACCAGATACGCGTCTTCGTACTTTTTGGAAATGGTCAAGGATTATTTAACGTAAAGATGTTTCCTACCCAATACTCTTTTTTACCTATTCATTCAGTGATTGTAAATGATTTCGATAACGATGCTCTATCGGATTTTATTATTTTTTATGAATGTAGACCTATGATTAAATTAATAAGTAATATCGACTATCAACAACTAGATCTAACGGTGGAATATATTATCGATACTGGTTTGATTATGGCCCATCCTATTCGTATAGTTGATTTTGATGGAGATGGTTATCAAGATATCATTGGACAAAATCCTATAACGAATGGTACAGTTGCACTTTTTGGAAATGGATATAAATTTTTTAAAAACATGACCATTTTTACCGGAGAAAATCCCATTGAAAGTCATCCTTTTGCTGTGAACGATTTAAACAGTGACAATTATAAAGATATAATAATGTATAATCCATCTAATCAAACTATCGATATTATTTTAAGCACAAATAAATGTTGAAACTTTAATTACTCTTACAAATATTTATTAAATACATTCTTTCAAAGAAAATTTCTCAAGCTATATACTAATTTTGTTTCTATCTGATTTCTGAAATCTTATTGAATAGTTTTCGAAAAATACTTTACTCTGCCTAGTTGTCTTATTGTCTTTTCATTTCAAAATAAATTTCGATTATCGTAACTTACATTAACGATTTATTGTGAGGGTGAGAGAAGAGGAATGTAGAAACTTTTTCTACCTTGGATTGCGTTATTTTTGATCGGCCCTCTCACCTGATGTAATCAGATATTACTATTGGCTAATCCATCTTTCCCCTGACAAGGGAAGGTCACCAAATGCCTCCTCGCTTTCAAGCTGAAACTCACTTGACAGTAAGTGATCGAACATGCTGATTTCGTTTTTAAAAACGGCTTTTTGAAGATTTTGGTTGTTCACCTGAAAGAGAAGGTACTGTTTTTTTTTCTGTTTTGTTTTTCCACATATGTTACGCACAATTTGTGACAAAGAGAGTAATACAGAACTTTCGCAGAACCACGCTTTGTACAAATATTTGCTGTGTTTTTAATAGATATGATAGCTGATAAAAGTGTTGAAAACATTTTTTTCGAACATTGAGCACAAGTTTCAAAAACAGACTCATTGCAGTGTTTCTCTTCAAACTGCATATAACTTTCTCAACTCTCAAAGCAAATTTGATTCACGTTGACAAATGGAGAAGGACCTACACGTTTTAAACCACTGGAGAACCATGCGTATTGAAGCATTGGTGTGAATACATATGTACTTATTTGATTGTGCATTAGACTGACTAAACCGTATGATGTTATGTCGTTCGTGTAAGTGTGTGTCTGATTCATCCAAAACTACACGATGATATCATACTTTGATAAAACTTTCATTTACCTGTTAAATCGTTTGCTGATAATTATCAACCGATAGCACCATTTGTTCCTTCAACATCTGACCTAGTTCGAATCAATACTCAGTTTAATCACTGACAAACATTGACGATATGGAAGATACAGTTGTAACACTGATAAATTCAACTAGTTCTAGCATAAACATATCTGATAATTATAACTCAACTCTTCCAGTTGTTTCAGTAATAAGTACAACGTATTGTGATCAAAAGAATATTGTTGATCAATACACTCTAAACAGAGAGCAAAAATCTGCATTCATGATAATAACAAGTCATCTCGACGGTGACAAACAATTACATGCAGGTATGCTCATGCGTATGGTTCTATATGATCATAAACTGACAAATATCATTTATATAGGAGAGAACAATGGTTAACTTATCATGTGTATACCCGGGCGTGGTGGTACAGGAAAATCACAACTTATTCGTGCTGTTACTGAATATTTTCGTGTCACAAACAGAATACAAAAGATGCGAAAGCTAGTGCCTACATATCCGTTCATTTTTAGGCGAACAACGCGGTTCTGGAAAGTCACGAACCATTTAATCGGCCGACTTAAAACTTGAAAAAGAATGGACGCTTGTGGAATATTTCTTGATTGATGAAATGAGTGTGGCTGGTTTGACTTTACTCGGAAAACTCAATCGAATTCTTCGTATCGCTAAACATGCCGATTCGCAAATTACATTCAGTGGTATAAATGTTATATTCTTTGGTGATTATTTACAACAGCGGCACGTATACGATGCCCCGTTGCACACTGACTTTTCATCGGAAAACAAAAACAAATTTAATAAGCTACCTTCGGAAAAAAAGAAATCCAACAACGCGTTGCACGTTCTTTAATTCTACAGATTAATTGTGTAGTTAAACTTACTCAACAGATACGAACAGAAGACACCCGATATCTGCAGTTACTTGAACGACTTCGTCAAGGTCAATGTAGCCATGAAGATTATGAAATATTATTTGACGCGCGTTTTCGGACAGCCAACCATCTCTCTCCGTGAATCGCCACGGAATCAAGTAATAAATATATATATATCTATTCTAAATAAACATGATTTGTATGTTTCTTTGTTTGAGGCTCCCATGCTCGTGTTTAGAAATGAAATACGAATCTAATTTAACTACAGGTCGGCAATTCATCATGCAATACAAAAAGGTTGCAATCCAATGGTATGTGTTGCTGAGGACTTTGTAAGACACAGCTGTGAAAGAGCCTGTGCTTGCAAAAAAATTATTAAAATTATCTGACAGTAAGGCTGAACACTTACCGGGCTTGTTACCGTTAGTTTCTGGAATGCCAGTTATTCTTACACAAAACATTGCTATTGAACTCGGATTAATTAACGGTATGAATGGAATCTTCAAAAACTTCAACCAAATCTCATCCCGATACCAATAATGGAACAAACCTTTCAGGTAGACATTTCGGATATTCTTCCGAAAGTCAACAACAAATCAAAAACCAATTGAAAGGCAATGTTATTGATTAAACGATGCGCGCTACCTCTTGTACTCGCATATTCTACCACAACTCACAAAAGTCAATGACAAACTTTGAGCAAAGTTGTCATTGATCTTAAGTTACCAAAGGATACAGATGACATCGCTGCAGTCTATGTACCATTATCAAGAGTGAAACGTTTAACTGGCTTGATTATTTTGCGACACTTTGAAACACAGTTGTGTTTTTCAGTATGTTTTTGACAAATTTCATAGAAAGCATAAACTCTCCATTGCCTGTCATCCATTTTGCACTTCTGATTCATTTGCATCACTTACAGCTATGCAAGCCTCTCGTACAATTAAAGCTTTTTCATCCGTTCATTGTTTGTAATCGAAGTGCAAGTTTTCTTTTCAATTCTACTGTAGCTATTGTATTTTGTTTCGCGCATTTTATTCGTACTCGCTTATGCTTCATATTCACTTTTTTAAACATTAGTTAAATCATATAGAATCACTTTTTTTTTTCTTTCATGTAGTTAGGCTTTATATTATTAATGTATCTTTATTTCATTGAAAAGCAAACATCAACACATCGGTTATATATATATATATTGGTCTTTTCAGTCCAGGATAACGCGAGTCGCTCTCGACGAGCGTTATTTATAGTGTTACTTCCCTGAAATAATATTATTTTCAACCCTGTAAATGAACAAAAATAAGTTTTGATCGCTTGCTTGGCATACTCTATCATATGGAACGATAGAAATATCAACTTAAAAAACAATTTTCCGTCAAAATCTGATTTTCCAAAGATCAGGTCTATGGAAGCTTATGGGCAAATACCATGTTGGTATTCGGAATCAGTATAGGGAATAACTCTAGGCCCATTATATCTCATTAGAAAATCAATGAACCAGTTAAGTCGGTTCCCTCGCGACAGGGCAAAAAGCAAAACTACAACAAAATCAGGCATCAAGTCAGAAGGTCAAGCCAGTGCGTGCCGAAAAGACAAAAAAAACAAAGAAATTATGTTTGCTAGCTGCATTCCAACGAATTTTCGAAAGTCGAAAATATTATTTTCTCGTATTTATCGATGAAAGATCAATGGTTACCTTGTACTTAGGGCAACCCAAAAGTTGTGAGCCAGGTGTCTTATTCCATGAAGCCAAGGTCTATAAAAATTTTCTTTTTCTACTAACAGATAGAGCGTCTTTTGCTCTATCCTCCCATGCTATTTGGTCTACTCCAACTAAGATTATTATAACAAAATTTTGATACGAACTTTTTTTTGCATCACTCTAGCTGGTAGCAATAGTGCAAATTTCTTTTTGATTATNCAATAGCTTATCTTATCATCTGTACGTGGTTTTTATTGTTTTCTTTTCATCATGTAATCCGTTTTATTAAAAAATAAAGTACACCATACAATGCAGCGTTAAAAGCTCTACCAGTTACATGCGAATGCTTTTTCTTGTACTACCACTTCTTGTTTTCAAAATGGACAGAACTTTGAGCGACCAAATTTCTACCGTATGAAAATGGATTGCATAGTATTTCACCTTTTTGAAAACAACCAAAACAAGCTACATTGACAAAAATTATAGAGCTTTTCTCGCTGCATCTTATGGTGTATTTTGTTTTTCCATAAGATGCATTAAATAATCAAAAAGAAATTTGCACTATTGCTACCAGCTAGAGTGATGCAAAAAAAAGTTCGTATCAAAATTTTGTTATAATAATCTTAGTTGGAGTAGACCAAATAGCATGGGAGGATAGAGCGAAAGACGCTCTATCTGTTAGTAGAAAAAGAAAATTTTTATAGACCTTGGTTTCATGGAATAAGACACCTGGCTCACAACTTTTGGATTGCCCTAAGTAGTTCTGATCGCAATCCATTGGATCATTGTATTTTGTAATGAATTTATGAACATCATCGGTTAATCTTACTATGAAAAGATGTGTTCTTCTATGTGGAATTATACCTGAAAAACATGCAAAATACTTAGAGACTCATTGATTCTAGTCTACCGATTCGATTTGAAACCATGCCTCGAGCAAGGTGCTTTGTATCTTTACTTACAAAATATGAAAAGAAAAAGGGGTATTTTCTCTTTGTGTTCTCTCGTTCGATTTGAAATGAATAAAACAAGCGTCATGTTCTCAAATATGTATATTTTTCTTACATCACTAATTTTAACAATAGAGAGTTGCCGTTTTCTACAACAACACGATCGCAACATTTTATTGACTTAGCAGGGTTTCATTGGAAGAAAATGAAGTTTCTCTTTTATTCTGCTTGTAGTATGAGTGGTGGGGAGAAAGAAAGGAGAAACTTGAAAAAAAATAATTCAAACAGTACAGCATTAACGATGAATAAGCTTGTTTGATTTCTGATTCGTATAAAAGCAGAAATTAAAAAATGATTTCTGCATCATTTGAATATGTTGACGATCAAAGCAACGATTTTATTTTGTTTGGTATTATTACCAATAGTTTCATGGGCTCGCAGTACTGGTTCACAATATAGTTCTCCAAGTAAGAGAATATAGTGAAGAACTTTGTCTACAGTAACTAATCATATACATTTATAGACATGGAGAAAAATTGTGGTAAAACGATTACATTAGATGGCGATAAATTACCTGGAACATATTTTAGTTTAACGTCGGGCAATTATAAACCGAATGTTGATTGTATTTTAACCATCAAAGGAAAAACATCGAACCAACGTATCATTGTTGTTGTTGATAAAATGGATGTTGCATGTGGCGGTGATAAAATCATTATATACGATGGTAAAATAGATCAAGGATCAGTATTAAACAAAAATCAATCAGAAGAATGTGGAACGAAGAAATATTATCTCAGAGTAAAAAAATAATTTTTTGAGTGTTTAAGAATTCTCTTCTATCGATGTTGTTCCTAGACAATAACTTCAAATACAGCAATTATTCAATTCATATCTAATAACGATAAAAAAGTTGGAACAGGATTTACAATTAATACGGCAATCAACTTTCGTAAGTTGTAACTATAATAAACTGTTCAAATATCGATGGATTTCGTAATCTTGTTATAGCGGTCAGTACATGTTCACGCATAGAAAACCTCTATCGATGCAAAAACAATTATTGTATATCGAATTCTTTCAATTGTGATGATCGAAATTGGTGTGGTGATAATACTCAACAACACGTGTGCCGTTAATTTCTCCATTTTCAGTAACTATATCTTCAACAATTAAACATAAAGTCTTCCAAATTTGAATCCTTGTGTGTTTATGTGAATAAAAGTAGAAGCTGAATCGAACTCAACTCATTTCTTTTATGTTCCACAGAGACGACACAAGAAGCATGATGATGATCGACTGTTTATTCGATCTGATGAATTACATCATGCATCATTTATCTTTATTCGTACCTTTGTGTTCATAGTGAAATAACACAAATATTTTTTTTTAAATCTTCTGCTCATGTTCCATTTCTTCTTCTGATGATTCCTCAGACAACGATAACATCAATATTGGAGATTTTTTTTAATAAATAAATTATTCAATGGTGAAATATTCAGTGCGACTGGCACACCACGCCCTCTCAATAACTGATAATGATTTTAAATTTGAATATCAAGAAGTTCCACTTTGAAATCAGTTATAGCATACGATCCAAAAGTAATTTGACAAAATGTCATCCTCTAATTTTTTCATAAATACCGTTTCGGAAAGGAAACCTTTTTAGTATTCGACAGAGCATCGTCTGCTCTTTCAATTTGTATACCATCAATTTTGTCTAGGACTGAGGGTGAGGCTGAGGATGTGTTTATTGCACACACGTAGAAAATTCCTACGATCTAGATTTCGACCCTTTTTAGGGCTCCGTCTTCAGGTAGGATCTCAATTCCGCATAAGAAATTTCAAATTATGGAAGTTTAAGTGGTTTTATATAACAGTTTAGATGGTTTCAGTTGTGAATATCGTTTGTTCTGGTTGCGGCCGTAAAGATTTTATGAAAGAGTTATAGGAGAAAATGTTTGAGGCAGTATGAAATATCAGAAAAGTAATACAAGAGTATTAGGTTGAAAGAGAGATTTTTCTGAAGTATAGAAGTAGATTAATTGGTAAAGAGAGAGTTGATTTCGTTTTATTCAGTGAGCTTTTGATTTGTCAGATGGAAAAGAAGTATGAAGTTTACTGTATTTGTGTTGAATAATTAACGAACTTATTCTGGAATGCTGCGGTTACTTGGCATTTTGTCTGAAGGTGGAATTCATCAATATTCGTTTTTATGGCTCCTTCTTTACTAACAACTGATTCAAATTTCTATTGCATCTTGTGGTAATGTTTAGAAGAACGATTTTTATGGATGGATAATGGTTCACATAATGGTTTTCCCATAGATGTTGAAATCCTTGTTTGAAACGTAGCACTGGGCCACTTTCGACACTAAAATGCACATAGATTTCATTTTTGTTCATAGCCGGCCGTCGACTAGTATTTGAAATTGCGCTTTGTAGTTGTCTTTCGTGCCATGTTAACTAAGTTAGCAGCTGTTGATGTGATTGTTCATAAGAGACTTGATCTAGTTGTTCTTTCGATGACATGATATCATTCGTTAAGAAACATTTGTTAAAATGATAGGAAATAGATCTTGGCGGGATAGTCATTTAAGGTCCACTTTCCATCCAAAAAAAGTTGATTTTTGGCAAATCTATCGATTTTTTAAATTGATACATGTGATAGAGCATCACGTGCGCTGCCGAATGCACTATAGTTTATTCTGTTGACGATAAATTTTAATGGTTTTACAGAGGTTTTCCTTAAAACCTCTACCCTTGATAACAGACGCTTGTCAAATTATTTAATTGTTTTGCGTATTTCAACTTGCAACGTTAAAACATATTTCTTTCTATTGTACAGAGTGTTATTTTGACTTTGATTCCATTCTAAATTATGTCAACTTAGAACTGTCAGTCGATGACATTAGTGATATATATGAAGGAGGTGGTAATGATTGATTACCAAAAGTAATCAACATTATCTCAGATTTTAAAAGTACTACTTACTTTGTTATCATACCATTCATTTTCACATGGTATTTTCTAAAACCTGCCTTTTAAAATCATTTTGATGAGCTTTCCAATAAAATTTATCGTAATATCTTCGCACATAATGATTTCGAAGTCATATGTTCTCCGTAACATGTTGTTGGTACTTTAGCTATATTAAGTTAAATACCATCCTTAATTAGAATAGGAGCTGCGTCTGGATGCCTTCCTTACCGCCAATGAATACCCAAATGATTTGAGTGAAGTTCATCCGAACCCATTGGCTGACACATATCCTTGTGGTGTCTCTTTATTTTGACCTTTCACTAAACCAAAGCCCGTCCTGCAAAGTCTGATGATCGCAGCTACAACAGAGTTGAGAGTAACAGGCGGGTAATCTGAGTGAAACGCAGCTAGACCTTCCAACAGATCCTTATCATATAGTTCCTTACCACAAAGTGACGTTTCCGTAGGTCAAACCTATCATACATGTAGTTGAACGGTTTTTCGTATTATCTGTGACAAAGCCAGCTGGAAAACTTACGTCTGACTCGTTCATACTGGTCCTCCAACACGTTTTCTTCGACCTACAAGAGTTCCGTGCAAATTTGCACGCGGTCTCTATTATAGAGCTGCTTGGGTGAGATTTCACCCAGATCAATCCAAGTCACCCATGTCTACCCTCTCACAGGCCAATCAGCATTAGTACAATCAATTGGGCTCATCTTCGAACTCGACTGAGATAATATTGAGTTGGTGCTGTGTAAAAAGTATCCACTCGAGCTTATTCTTTTACCGAAACTTATCGTGTAAACGGGCAGACGGGCACACTGAACGATTTTAGTAGTATACTCACTTTTTTCAGCACACAAAAAGAATAGTAAAGATAATGCCAAAGTATATTAAAATCTAACGAAGTAAGACCACATAGCATGCGTACAGCGTTTGCACGCTACTCTGCCACAGATAGAGACTCGGAAAAGCATCATCTGCTATTTCTCACCTTCAAGAGTATCGTACCGCCCCCCCCCACTCTTCCAACATTTACACGGTTGGAAAAAATATGATTCCAAAGGGGGGTATCACCATCATTTTAAATGGAGTAGATGATGAATGTTATACCGAATGAAAGCCCGTGAAAAATGGAATTTATTGATACTAAATAGTGAGGGTTATGAAGACCTTAGTGTATTAAAATTTCAGAACTTATTATATTTCATTGACAGGAAGTAAGAGGAAAGCTATTTCCGAAGCGAAATTCAAACTGAATGTGTACCAAAATAGTTTATTTTTTCAACATTTAATGAATAGAATCAATAATGAGTGTGACGACTGTTAGCTTTCTTTACTGCACGGATACGTGATGGATACGAATGTAAAAGTGTTTGAAATAAATCAGTGTCTGTCTCGATATTGGTCAAAACGTTTGTAAGATGCACTTTGAGTGTATCCTCAAGACATCGATTATGTCCAGTCTGTGATAACATTTTTTTCTCAACTTCATCTTTCATTATTGATCCAATACGTTCTGCTACATTGAGATCAGGCGAATTTCCTGGCCAGATGTCATTGCCTCAAAACTTCACTTTGTTGTCTTGAAGCAAATGTTGGGTTTTGTTTGCTCGCATACACGGTGCCTTATCATGAACAAATGTAACTTCATCAGGATCAATAACATTTTCTTCATCACTTAAAAAAGGTATTACATTTTGAGTTAGAATTATATCACGAAAATAATCACCAGTCCAAGACTAGCCCTTATATTTAATCACCCAAAGTAATTCCTTGCAAGTAAACATAATAAAAATCCCAATGCATACTTGATTTTGGACCGTTTCACGGTACCTGTCATCATCTTCAATATCTTCGACATTTAAGGCCCAAGTTCTATTATTTTGATAATTCGGTCTACGAACAATCCATACATAAAACTCGTCAGATGGTGCAAGATGAAAAAAGTCTTCTTCAGTCCAATCTTCTAACCAGCCGCATAACCATAAACGATTTGATATATGAGTTTCAGTTTTTAATGGCTTTGAAATAACATGAAATGGCTTCAATCCTTCTCTATGACGATAGTTATTGATTGCTCTTCTGCAATCTGTCTCGCCACAACAAAATAACTTTTCCCTTGTCGACCACTTTCTTTGTGAATGATATCTTGACTTGCTTGTGATAATTTGAGCTTGCAATCGGCGTTTGAATAATCAGTAAAGCATTGGTCATATGATTTTCCCCACCATTCTGTGACCAATCGGGTTGTATGGCGAATTTTCTTCGCAATCCATTGTCGACTTACTAGAAGAATATATTTTCTTTTTATGATTTATATCAATTTGAAATGGAGCTTATATACCACTTCACGAACTATTTAAAGTTCTCTCTTTCGTAGCTTTCTTTCAGAAGAAAAACAAAAAATCACTATTAATCTCTATCACGAGGCATATATAGCAGAATGTAAAAAGATAATAATATCCTTTCAGTCGAGACTGCGTTATATGAACACTACAGCATACCCTTTTTATTTTTTTTCTGAGAAACTTTCTTGTTTTTGGCCTTTCAAGCCGGTAAAAGCAGCTTATAACTTTTGTATTTTACAGAATTATATAAACTTCGAGAGTTTGATACACTAAGGTCTTCATAATCCTCACTATTTAGTATCAATAAATTCCATTTTTCACGGGCTTTCATTCGGTATAACATTCATCATCTACTCCATATAAAATGATGGTGATACCCCCCTCTGGAATCATATTTTTTCCAACCATGTACCCTCAACATTCCTGCCAAACCATGTTTTATGAAATTTTAATAATAACAATATACCTTAATCATTGACCTGCGACAGACATACATACAAACGGATTTTCGATTTTTTGACCACTTTTTTTCGACATGACCCTCCTTTCAGTCGAGGGAATGATCCATTACATCGTTGTTTGTTAGACAATTTTGAAGTAAATCGAATATGCTGTGTTGTATCTTATCCATCTTTGCTTAATATTTACGATGCTATCATTCATACATTTCATTTTCTTGCTCCATTAACAATTAATCTTCTATCGACTTTTTTAATAATTCGAATTATTGTATATTGAAAGAGATTATTTGATAAAAAACAATTCAGTTATAAAAATTATCTTTGGAAACAATATCGAAAAAATCGACATATACTTTTACCTCCATGTTATCTTGTTCTGTTAGGAGCTTCACGTATGATTATTGTAGTTCTTTCTGGACGTATGAAATCAGCTTGTAATCCATGGCGTTTTCTTGCTGCTTACTTCATTTTTCGTTGTTTTACTTTCAAAAGAATATATGAAAGCATTGCAACAATCATTAGGATAACTTTGTGAATGTTTTTTAAAAAGAAAATCTTGTTTGCGCGTGTAAATGCTTGCTTTGAGTAGATTCTACAGTAATATAATCAATATTCATCGAAAATATTTATTTCTATTTTGATAACTGATGTTTCTATTAAAATTTTATCAAGTCAATACTGTCAAACTTGTCAATGCTCTATGATAAGTGAATATATATGTATGTTGAAAAAGAATAATGATTTTATTGAATTCTGTTTTTTACATATTAATATAATGTTTATAACAACGTACATATTTTTTCTATTAGTATCGATTAGTTATGGTCTTATTTGTATCAGCCATGAAAAATCGTATATTATAAAAACGGCAAATCTCAATCTTGAACGGCTTCAGAATGAATTAAATAATTTAACTACAAGTCAAGTCACTGGAGATGCTTTATGTAGCGTTGAATTTTTTATGTCACCTGGTTCTCCAGTACTAGCTATTCAATTTAATATGCAATCTAATAATAATAAACTTTCTGATAGAGAAATTCAATTCGAAACATTAATAGAAGCAACAGAAAGGTGGGAAACCGAACTAACAAATACACTTACATATACATGTTCATTCCCAAATGAATGCAATAAACAATTTGTATTCGATCATTTTTCATGGTTTCTTGAACAAAGTTATTTACAATTGCATAAATCAGTCGATTCATTAGTGTTAAACACAGCTAGACAACCAGGTAACTCAATCTGTGAGCATCCGTATTTGCACATTTTCTCTTATTTATATCACACAGGGCGGTGTTTTAATGGAACCAATATCGCTACAGTATGTCCCAGTAAAATATGTGTGGCAGTTTATTCAACTGACGATGATGTATTTCGAGCGATGTGTGCCATTAAATCAAGTCGAAAAAGTGATTTTGTGATTACTACTAGAATCAATACACTAACTCGCATTGAGAAGCAATCAGTTATTTTCAGATGCAATTATGATAGTTGTAACAGCGAAGAATATTTACTTCAGTTAAAGATAGGTATTAAATTGTATTATGATCTGTCAGCACTACGTAAGGTAGTTCATTATAGCAATGAATTAGTCAGTTCTCAAAAATTGTCAATAACAACAAGTTCCGAAGCAATAACAACAACATCCGAAGCAATAACAACAACATCCGAAGCAATAAGAACTCTAACAAGTATTTCTGTAGACACATTGGCAATCAACTCCAGTTTGAATACAATAATTGTTTTCAATGTAACTAACATCGCTAAAAAGATACAATATTCTTTTATTTTACTTGGATTTGTTTTCGTATTAAGAGTGAAGATGTGAGGGTGACAGGTTTATCACTTTATACTCTAGATGACTTTTAAGGAATACGCTGCAATTTTGTGAAAAAGAAAATTTCAGGAGAATGTTTTAGTCGGTGGATTTCATTTCGCAAACATTTTATTTATTTTAAAAGATGCTTTCAGTCTCTTCTAATTATTGTAAGATAACAGAAAAAACGAAATAAAACACGGATATAGACGACGCGCTTATCCATCTGACAATATCTGGAACTGCATCCAAAGCTACAGAAAAAAAATGTATTGTTTTTTTATTCTCTGTCACTATGGTTAAAGAATATTATTGTAAGCTTCAAAGTCTTTGTTTTATACGAAAATTTATCAATCTCTCTATATATTTTTTCTATTCATTATACTATTATTGCTTGTTATTAAGACAAACATTCAATATATAGCATGCATTTTTTGACTAGTAGCTGTTTCAACTGAACTTTGCTCAGCCTTTGCATTCCTTCTTTGAAAAAGGATATTTGTATCTCATACAGAATAATGGCACATTGCAAAGACATACCTTCAAAACGTTCCCTTTAAAAATTCTTTTATCATTCCCAACCATATCTACATTTTGATAATATGAATACTTCACACATATGTCTGTTTTAAATGCCAACTTTGAAACATTCTCTCATGTAAATTACTGGGGAAAACGCTTGCCTACATGGAATCCTTTTTAGAAAAGGCCAAAGCGCAGTTTCTACTAACGACTATATATACTGACAGTATTTCTCATGCTGTATTCATTTTTCATCTCATTTCAAAGGAAGTACTATACTGCTTCTTGTGAGTTATATAAAATACAGTATTTTTCATTACATTCTGGCCACAACGAGTGTCTTTAGCCATACATCGACTACGTTAATCGTAAAGTGCAACAATCTCAAAAGCATTCTCAACCTTTCTAAAGCAATCGACCATCCTCAATTTATTAAAACTGCAATTCAAAACCAAAACACTCAAACCTGGATACTACATATAGTGAAAATGCGACCAGCTTCATCAATACCAACGATTGCAAGATAAAGACGACAGCTACAGATCTCACAAATTCAGAAAGCATCAACATCACACGATGCATTCTTGAGTCTCATCGAAAGTGGTTTATTTTGCCATGATTTGGCTTGAAGTCAACTTTTCTCTTTTGAAAATGTTTATTTTGAATTGAATCATACGAAATCATAAGCCATGTGATGAGTCTTTGTGAGCTAAAGACGAAATGCGTCATTGCTGCTCACCTCACCCGAGCTTTAAAAAAGCGTTGAGGTGCTGACGGCATTTCGTTTGCCCGCAGGCTCTTACAGTAAATCTTATATGTCTATAGTTATTGAATTTAACTCATTGTGCTTCGAATGCTATTCTTGCTGATTGAGTAAATTGTCCATTAGTCCACATCACTGCATGAGGATTAATACGATGGTCTCTTCGCCAAAACAATAGACAATTTTTACATTTCTCTTTCAGGCCAGGTAATGATATCGCACATGCCAATGGCATCAATTGTACAATCCAATAAGTAAAAAAGAGAGAATCATCGTAGAAATCATTTGCGGTGACATATGTTGCACCAGCGGAATATGCAGCATACAAAGTCATTGGTGGAAGCTGTAAGAAAAGATACAGCAAAGATAATGGCAATAATTGAAGTGCCATCTTCTTGTGCTTTCTCCAATCAACACTCCTGTGAACCTTATATCGAGAGTATAACACCCGACCAAACAGTACCATATTAAAAATGATTGTAATAAATGCTGTTCCTATATAATGAGCAAAACTATCTATCAATCCTGGCCAATATTGATCTGAGGAACAGATATATCGATCACAGAATATGTTGTCGTATCTAATTGCTACGTCGCAAGGTAGAATGAAGGCTGATAGAGAGTAAAATATGAGAGGCCAAACAATACATCCAGACAACGGGAAATAATGAAAAAACAGACGCTTTGTTTTTGTTGCAAACCAGCTGGGATAAAAAATAAGAATATGTCGTTCGAATGATGCCCACGCCATAAGAATATATGTCATGCTATAAAACGCTCCCCCTGAAAATGTCCATATTCCACAAAAAATAGGTGTGGCAATTAACGCCGTACCCGTCCGATAATAATGACTTTGCCAAGCAACATCAGTAATTTGTTCAATAAGTGAGCAGATAAGTAGGAGAATAATTACATGATTGTTGAGAGCTTTACGAAGTGTTCGATTACCTATGAAATGATATAGATTAAACAGAATAATTAAGATGGATGGAAACATCGGAGCTAGCATAAGCCATGAACGAATGTTATTAGCGATGGGCATCGCCGAATGACTTTGAATATGTTGGAAATAAACTAAAATGTAAAAGTAGAATGTTTACACATAGTTAGTTATCTAACGTTTGTGTTAGTATTAGGACACGCAATGAACACTTCTATTTTCACAATAGTTAGCAGAAAACTGATATAGAAATTCTAACGAAAAATGTAAGTACCGCTCTACAAGCTGTTAAGGATTTATGTAAATGAGTTACAAGTGTATTCGAATCACTCAGACAAATAGAAAAACATAGGTTTTAGTGTCTTGAGACACATTGTTTATTCGTCTATATGATTTACATCTAAATGTAACTATTTTACGTATAGCATGCACTCATATACTGGAGAAAAAAAGAGAAGAAAAAAAGAGGACGAGAACTTACAGGAGAATGAAAAAAGAGAGAGCACCAAAAGAAGAATAACAAGAAAGAGCGTATTGGATGACTGATACGATTTATAACATACGCATATTCGTTTTATTCCTGATGAGAATGCATCAGCAATTTAACAAAAGGACGCAACGTCATTTACGGGTAATATGTCCGTTACCTAAAACAATGTCCTCATATGCTCTCTTTTCGAAACTATCACTAACATCTTTTGTCATTATCCGATTGTTTTCTCATTTGGTTTCACATAGTTAAGTTATTACAACTGATTCTTTGACACAAGCAAAATAGTCCTATCATAAGATATAATCGAAAACAAAAATTTATATGCAAGTCTGCAAATGTATCTTAACCATCTATAATACTAAAATTTTGGTTGTTCATACATTAGATGCGTTACTTTACTTTAGTGAATTTAAAAGATTAATAACATAAAAATAAATCTATTTGTCATGATTATCCATAGGGAAATTGTTTTAAGGGATTTTCGTTGACATCAATCTTAATAAAAGCACTGAAATTACTTAGTGACGAACTTGTAATGTAAAAAACTAATTATCTACGCGTCAAAACCAGCTAGAGGTCGTCCATCCATGAGGAAAGCTTGATAGTAAAACTCATGAAAGCTCGATCTGTTAACCGAAAGGACATCAGCCATGGTGTATAAAATAGATATTGCCAGAGGCTAGATATTTGATTATGAAATAGGGCGAATGTTATTTTCTTCTTCAACAAGATGTTATTGAATCCAAGTATTTAGATCACCACAAAAAAATCTGGTATTGTGCAGTAATAAATAGATTACACTGGTTTGGATTTGGCATTGATTTTTAGAGTTTGACATGGTCTTTGAGAGTATGTCCTTTACAGAAGCCTTCAATTGTTATATCGTTCTGGCATATAATTAAAAACTATTCTCATTTTTCATGAAATTCCGTAATGGACAGTCTTGTCACTTTTTTATTCGATATGGATATTCATAAGAAGAAGTGTCCTTATAGCTGTGAAATATATTCACAGCCAAACAACTTTTATGCAGAGCGTTTATTTCTATGTAGCTCCAGTTTAGAGTAATATGTCAAAATTTCATCTAACCCTTAAAAAGAAGTCCATTTCAGAAATTCCGTAACGGCTAATATTTTTTTGAATAACTTCGCTTTCTATAGAAAAGAATAAATGAAATTTATATCAGTGACAGATCTAATTAGTCTCTATACACAGTAAAAATTTTAGAGAGTTTGCATTTATTAGCAAGGTTATATGGGCGTGACAATTTGTCAAACTGAAATTCCGTAACGCTGGTCATGCCGTACTACTTGTGACAATCTGAGCGATTACACAGATCCCTCCTTTTTTTATATAGCAATGACATTTGTCCTTGGCTTATACACTTCCTTCTCTTTCTTCCTCTTAGTGCAATCCGGGCAGACAAGTATAATCCACTGTGGAGTCCGAAATGATTTTTCAAAAAATTTAAATTTAACAGAAATCGTAAAAATTTAGGACGTTTATAAAGTGGGTCGATATTTATAAACCGAGTGGATACTTATAAACAGGGTCGATACTTATAAACCGGGTCGACATCTATAAACCGGGTAGATATTTTCAAATCCATGACCAGTTTAAGAAAACAAAGCATGATTTGAGGGTACTCTTTACATTTTGGACATTTATCATCAAAGCTTTCTTCCAGTTGAACTTGATCATACGAATATTTGTACACATCATAACAGCAAAAAGAAAAAGATGATATTATCATTTTACACTGCCTCCATTTTCTGTTTTGTTTTTGTCAATCTTTCATGTTGCTTTGTTGCACTGAATGACTTTTCCATCTATAACATAGCCGTTCGCTTGGTGGAGAAATAGTCACATCGTTTTCGCCATGCGCGACGTGTTTACTGTGAGAGTGGAACGCCTTCAATTCACACTTGTACACTTTCTTGCGTTCTGTCGTCTGCTCTCTTTACATGTTATTTATTCTCCTTGTCATCGGTTAGATCAGTCTTTGTTAATCACTGTATTGCTGTATTCAGCTTTCGAAGTGAATACACGATATCACATCATGTATTCACTGTCTTTATAGTTAATTTTCCAGAAATACCATCTGCACATTCATCGNAAGGGCTTATCTTTGAGAATAGTGAAGAAAATGGGCAAATGAATCCTGTAATCCCATTGGTCTATTTTTGTATCACTTCGGAGGTTGAAATACAGGTATAAAATAGTCCACTAGAAGTACAAGTATTTTCTGGCAAGTACAAGTAGAAGTACAGGTATATCCATGCACGTACAAGTACTTGTACGTGTACTTTGTGTACGTGTACTTGTCCTACCTCTGTTCCGGCGGCAAGGAAATGGTCGGAAAACGAACATAACCGCTCGGAACCGACTGTGCCATAATAACCTGGGTCAATACGAAATTTAATCACTGGCAAACATTATAAAACAGGCGATGAATCGAACATTAACGATATAGAAGATACAGTTGTAACACTGATAAATTCAACTAGTTCAAACATAAACATATCTGATAATTATAACTCAATTCTTCGAGTTGTTTCATTAACAAGTACAACGTATTGTGATCACAAGAGCATTGCTGATCAATACACACTAAACAGAGAGCAAAAAGCTGCGTTCATGATAATAACAAGCCATCTTGATGGCGACAAACAATCACATGCAGGTATATTCATGCACATGATTCTATATAACTATAAATTGAAAAATATCATCCATATCGGAGATAACAATGGGCAACTTATCATGTGTATACCCGGGTGTGGTGGTACAGGAAAATCACAATTTATTCGTGCTGTGACTGAATATTTTCTTGTTACAAACAGAATACAAAAGATGCGAAAGCTAGCACCTACTGGAATTGCAGCTACTGAAATTGGTGGCATGACTATTCATTCATTTTTAGGCGAACATCGCAATTCTGGAAGGGCAGGAACTATTAAACCGGGCGATTTGAAACTGGAAAAAGAATGGACACTTGTAGAGTATCTCTTGATTGATGAAATGAGTATGGTTGGTTTGACTTTACTCGGAAAACTCAATCAAATTCTTTGTGCCGCTAAACATGGCGATCCGCAAATTCCATTCGGTGGTATAAACGTGATATTCTTTGGTGATTATTTACAGTATCGGCTTGTATACGGTGCCTCATTACACACTGACTTTTCGCCGGAAAACAAGAAGAAATCTAATAAACAACTTTCGAAAAAAGAAATCCAACAACGTGTGGCACATTAATTAATTCTACAATTGAATTGTATGGTCAAACTTACTCAACAGATGCGAGCAGAAGACACCCGATCCCAGGTCAACAAATCCGATCGGGTCTCGCCGAATCCGACTAGAAAAATCCCGTCGGTGGTTGCAAATTTTATGAGCGATCTTTTTAACTATGTTCCATGATGACCCTTAGAAAATCCCGGAAATCCATGTTTTGGATCCGTCGAATTCCTGTAGGATCTGATAAAATCCTATATTGGATACGAGTATGGGATTGTTCGACCTGGATATGTCTTTTTAAAATACCAATTTTGAAGCATTCTCATGTAAATTACTGGGGAAAACGCTTGCCTACATGGAATCCTTTCTAGAAAAGGCCAAAGCTCAGTTTCTACTAATGACTATATATACTGACAGTATTTCTCATGCTGTATTCATTTTTCATCTCATTTCAAAGGAAGTGGTATACTCCTTCTTATAAGTTATATAAAATACAGTATTTTTCATTACATTCTGACCACAACGAGTGTCTTTAGCCATACATCGACTACGTTAATCGTAAAGTGCAACAATCTGAAAAGCATTCTCAATCTTTCTAAAGCAATCGACCGTCCTCAATTTATTAAAATTGCAATTCAAAACCAAAACACTCAAACCTGGATACTACATATAGTGAAAATGCGACCAGCTTCATCAATACCAACGATTGCAAGGTAAAGACGACAGCTACAGATCTCACAAATTCAGAAAGCATCAACATGACACGATGCATTCTTGAGTCTCATCGAAAGCGGTTCATTTTGCCATGATTTGGCTTGAAATCAACTTTTCTCTTTTGAAAATGTTTATTTCGAATTGAATCATACGAAATCATAAGCCATCTAATGAGTTCTTGTATGCCAAAGGCGAAACGCGTCATTGCTGCTCACCTCACCCAAGCTTTGAAAAGGCGTTGACGTGCTGACGGCATTTCGTTTGCCCGCAAGTTCTTACAATAAATATTAAATTCTATAGTTATTGAATTCAACTCATTGTGCTTCGAGTGCTATTCTTGCTGACTGAGTAAATTGTCCATTAGTCCACATCACTGCTTGTGGATTGATACGATGGTCTCTTCGCCAAAATAACAGGCAATTTTTACATTTCTCTTTCAATCCAGGTAACGATATTGCACATGCCAACGGCATAAACTGTACAATCCAATAAGTAAAAAAGAGAGAATCATCATAGAAATCATTTGCGGTGACATATGTAGCACCCGCGGAATACGCAGCATACAAAGTCATTGGTGGAAGCTGTAAGAAAAGGTACAGCATAGATAATGGCAATAATTGAAATGCTATCTTCTTGTGCTTTCTCCAATCAACACTCCTATGAACTTTATATCGAGAGTATAATACCCGACCAAACAATGCTATATTAAAAATGATTGTCATAAATGCTGTTCCTATATAATGACCAAAACTATCAATCAATCCTGGCCAATATGGATCTGAGGAACAGATATATCGATCACAGAATATGTTGTCGTATCTAATTGCTACGTCACAAGGTAAAATGAAGGCTGATAGAGAGTAAAATATGAGAGGCCAAATAATACATCCAGACAAAGGAAAATAATGAAAAAATAGGCGCTTTGTTTTCGTTGCGAACCAGCTGGGATGAAAAATAAGAATATGTCGTTCGAATGATGCCCAAGCCATAAGAATATATATCATGCTATAAAACGCTCCCCCAGAAAATGTCCATATTCCACAAAAAATAGGTGTGGAAATTAATGCCGTACCCGTTCGATAATAATGACTTTGCCAAGCAACATCAGTAACTTGTTCAATAAATGAGCAGATAAGTAGGAGAATAATCACATGATTGTTGAGAGCTCTACGAAGTGTTTGATTACCTATGAAATGATATAGATTAAACAGAATAATTAAAATGGATGGAAACATCGGAGTCAACATAAGCCATGAACGAATGTAATTAGAGATGGGCATCCCAGAATGACTCTAAATATGTTGGAAATAAACTAAAATGTAAAAGTAGAATGTTTACATATAGTTATCTAACGTTTGTCTAAGTATTAGAATACACAATGAATGCTTCTATTTTCACAATAGTTAGCAGAAAACTCATATAGAAATTGTAGCGAAAAATGCCAGTGCCGCTCTGCAAGCTGTTAAAGATTGATGTAAATGGGTTACTAGTGTATTCCAATCACTCAGACAAATGGAAAAATACAGATTTTAGTGTCTTGAGACACAATGTTTATTCATCTATATGATCTACGTCTAAATGCAACTATTTCACATATAGCACGCACTCATATACTGGAGAAAAAAAGAGAATAAAAAAGAAGATGAGAACTTACAGGAGAAAGAAAAGAGAGAGCATCCAAGAGAAGAATAACAAAAAAGAGCTTATAGGATGACTGACACGATTTCTAACATACGCATATTCGTTTCATTCTTGATGTCAATGCATCATCAGTTTAAGAAAAGGGCGTAACGTCGTTTACGGGTAGTATACCCGTTACCTAGAACAGTGTCCTCACATGTTCTCTTCTCGAAACTATCACCAACATCTTTTGTTATTAATCGATTGTTTTCTCATTTGGTTTCACATAGTTAAGTTATTACGACTGATTCTTTGGCACCAGTAAAAGAGTTCTATCATAAGATACAATCGAAAATGAAATTTATATGTAAGTCTGCAAATGTATGTGGATCATCTATAATACTAAATTTTGGTTGTTCATAGGTTAGATGCGTTACTTTACTTTAGTGAATTCAAAAGATTAGTTATATAACGATACATTTATTTGTCCTGATTATCAATAGGGGAACTGCTTTATGAGATTTTCTTTAACGTCAATCTTACTGAAAGCATTAAAATTACTTAGTAACGAACTTGTGATGTAACAAAACTAATTAGCTACTACTTGTGACAATCTGAACGATTACACACATCCCTCCTTTTTTATATAGCAATGATATTTGTCGTTAGTTTATGCACTTCCTTCTCTTTCTTCCTGTTAGTGCTAAGAAGTAAAATCTCTGGATAATTTCATCATCCAAACGCCATGTTATTCTCTAGTCATTTAGATTGTGTCAACTTACAGATGATGCTTTTGACACCCCTTGTCACACTTAAGTGCCCCTGCCATGTTCGACAGAACCTCATCTTATGTTTTTCATGTGACCCATGATCCTAACGCGTGACATTTAAATTATAAACATTAGTTTTGCTTTCGGACATTTTTGTGTTGGTGCGTGAGTGTATTTCTCCAAGTACCATATACGAACAAGGAAAATACAGTATCGCTGCGATTTTTTTATCAAATAAAGCTTATATACACCATCATCAGAAATCGTCACACAACTTTTCGAAATAAAAAGGAAGAAAGAAGATACTCGCTCAAAAGGATAAAAATTAATTATTTCGTTAATTAATTTTAATGATAAGATAAGAAGTAGATGGTAAAGCAGAGAAGATATTGCTTTATGTTTTTCTGTAGTTTATTGACCGGTTTCTGTCAGATTATCATCTGACTTCATCAAAAAAATACAAAATTTACAAAAAACTAATAAATAACCAATAAGTTAACAACGATACCAGCGCATATATGATAATGATCCCGGGCTAGAATAGCCCTGGGATCTTGTTAAAATTGCCTGGAGTTTGTCTTGATCTCGTTGTTGTTGTTGATATGTGATACTCGTTTGTTTGGCGAGTATTCTTGAATACGTTTGAGCTCATTGTCATGAACCACTAAACTGAAGATATTAGTTTAATTTAAGAATACTAATCCGTAATTATTAATAGTGAAAGATCTGGCTTCTTTTTAACTAAATAATCTTGAACATTATGTAACTTCTTAGTACCTACGATCGGTCTTATGTTACAAATAGCTGTATCTGAAAAGCAATTTTTCCAGATTTCATTATATTGGGTGTGAGGGTGTGCCAACCTTTCTGAAGAGTCTCCTCAGTTGATTTTCCACCATGTAAGCATGTGAAGGGCTGTAATCGACTGCGTTTTGAAGATAGGTAAAATACTATTGATGGAAATGGTTGATAGGATTTTGTTACTCTATTTGGAAAACTCTACATAGGGGTATCAATAAGTTCTCGTAGTTGCTTCCTAATTTTTTCCCCCAACCGATTTCGACCATGAATTTAATATGGTCTCGTACCGACATCTGTTGTGCATCAAACCACCAATACGAAGTTTCTCTAGTGCTCGTTAGAGAAAATACCCAAACAATTTCCCAGGACCCCTGTTTTCGCGATGGAAAAGGAGCGCCTGCGTGCATATATCAAGACTCGATTTCTACTGGGCTTCGCAGCTACGGAAATTCACCGCGAATTAGTCACTGCTCACGGGCGCGATAGTATATCATTCAGTACTGTTGCACTTTGGGTTTGTCGTTTCTCAAGCATCATCTTCACCTTTGGAAAATCTCGTCGAGATGGGTCCCTCATAGCCTCACCCAAGCTCAACAACAGCAACGAATCGACATCTGCACAGAGAACTTACGGAAACTCGAAGAAGGTACGTGGAGACTTCCCGACATAGTTACAGGCGATGAAACCGGGATCTATCACCGCCGAATCAAATCGAAACAAGAGTCAAAAGCGTCGATTCCAGTGGGAGCAAGCCCTGTGACTGAAGTGAGACGACAGCAATTCGAGCGAAAAACCATGTTTGTCGTCTTCTTTATGACTGACGGACCTCTACTGATACATGAAATACCTTCGAAAACAACAGTCAATGCTGCTTACTATCGCGACGTATGTCTATTCCAATTAGTTCGCAAGTTACGCAAGAAAAGACCGCGATCGACAACGCACAGCATCAAACTCCATCATGACAATACTCGACCACGTGTCAATAATCTCGTTTTCGACTACCTTGAAGAGAATAAAATCCAGATCATGGCTCGTGTGATTTCTGGCTTTATGATCAGTTGAAACGAAATCTCGATACGTATCCGACAGTATAAGCCTTGCTTGAGCTGTAACAAAGGAGCTGAATTCGATACCCATTGATGAATATCGAAAGACATTTCATAAATGGACTGAGCGAATGAAACTTTGTGTGAAACATAAGGGGAAGTACTTCGAACATTTGCTGTGAACAAATCGTGAAAATCGCGTGTGTAGATAAAAATAAATGAAACTACGAGAACTTATTGATACCCCTATGTATGTGCAGGATTTTCATTGTTACTGTATACTGCTCTTGATATTCTTGATTGGACAATCATTTCTGGAATAGATAGTCTATGTACTAGTTCTCGGCGTTCGATGCTAAAATCATCATTGTTGTATATGGTATTGGTCACATTTTGATTTGCTCCATTGCCAGTAAGGAATGTATTGAATGAATCGAGGTAGATACCTACAATTGTGAATAAGAGGATGATTAGATCGAGAACTCGGCATGTTTATCTTAACCGTTATATAACAACATTAATTCGATGGTGCGCCGTTCACTTTCAAATGTTGATAATGTTGAAGAATATCGAATATCTCGTAAAAGTATCGTATTGGCGATATTCGTGAATACATGTTTTACATGATCAGATGTAAATGGTATCACATACGGTTCAGCTGCTACTTTTTGATAAACCGATGTTAGCAATATGTCAATTCTATTTTCGATTTGAACATTGAGAAATGATACGCTTGAGCCAGTTTGATGCACCAATTTGATATTGAGATGAGATAAATGGGATTCATTTAACATTTGATTGATTTTATCCAAAGATCCGTTGAACGTAAAGATGATGTCATCAATGTATCTGTATTAAAGCACAATGAGATAGATAAGTAGCTAGTATAAGACTTAAATCAAATGGTAAACGTACCGGCCATAGGTTTCATTTGAACTTGCTTGATCGAGAACAAGCTGTTTTTCCCATTTCCACATAAAGATATTGGCCAAAGTTAGAGTAAATGCTGATCCCATTGCACCACCGACTACTTAACGATAGAATTTCTTATCATAAGTAAACATATTTTCTGTCAAAACCAGACGAGCTAATTTCTGAATAGCATCAAGTGGAGTAAAGTTGTTGGTTTCAAATAGCCGTTTGCAGCAAATACTTCGAGACGGCGAATGAGATCAACACCGTCGGTAATTGTTGTTGAACGAACGTGTTTATCAAACAATGGTTGAAGTAATTGAGCGAGAAACTTAGAAATGACGGTTGTCGGTGTATGCATTGGCGAAACAATTTTTGAGGTGCCCACCAACATTATCTCCGTTGGACACCATCGATGGAAGACTGAAAGAATTCGTTCATTTACATTATCTTGACTTCATCAGAGCAATTGGTTATCGAATACACTAATTCAAAGATGACATTCATGAAAAACAGCTCGGCGAAGAATTGTCTTATTATTTTTCGAATGTCGATCAGGTAGGTATTATATAGCCGTTAACATTCATCGTTTCTTTTATATTTTTCTCTAGCTCGAATTGATAGGCCGATTAACCAGCATTCGACAGAAACAGATGAAGGTGTTGGAATAAATGACGCTGTTTGAACAATAAATCTCATGTCATCATACCTAACCTCGATATAAAACAACTGAGCAACAGACGTTTGAAGATGCTACAAGAACTTAAGAGATTTATGCTAAATGTTAAACTACAAGGATATGAAAACAAGATTGAAGATCAAGAATACTTATATCAACAAGAGGTGCCCAGTGTCCTGCAACAGATTGAGAACACCAACTCATCTCTTCCTACGTTTCAAAGAAACTTGACTATCTGCCACATAAAGGCAAGTATGAGACATACCATAGTTTTCTCTTATCTACAGTGTTCTTGATTTTTGTCTTTTCCATTTTTGAAGGCCCTAGCTACATTCGACCAAATCAAACATATCTGTATTCACATACATATCAAGAAAAACAAGCCGAACGAGAATACAATAGGATTCGTGATGTTGTTGTTCCTTTTCTCGTACACGTACATCACATGTTACCGATGCCGACAGTGATCAAATAGTTCTCTCACCAACTTGCTACGTATCTTTGTGAACGCTACATGTCTATAGTATCATATGTTGATGACCATTGTACACTCTACAAGAACGGCAATCGATTCAAGCAACCAAGTGTCGTCTGAAGAAATACAATCAGATTCTTCGTGTGACAGACAAAGCCGGCATATTTCATTTCGGCGATACCAAAGATTGCAAGCGAAAAGCAGGCGCTTATCGGCAAAAAGCGGGAGCTTATGTTGAATTAGAGACTAATCCACTACGGTCAGTCTTCGACAAAGTTGAACTCGCTTATTTATACTTCGTTCCAAAACCACATAAGGTAATTTGTGAATATCTTCTGCTGACTACCGCCTACTGTTTTATTCCTATTTGTAGGAAGAAACTCCACTGCGCCCGATTGTGTTATCAATGAGTAAGCCAACGACTAGCATTTCTAAATTTCTTGATCGATTACTTCGACCGTTATTTGATAAACATGTTCGTTCAACTACAATTATCGATGGCGTTGATCTCATTCGTCGTCTCGAAACATATGCGGCAAACGGCTATTTGAAACCAACAACACATCTGTGCACATTCGATATCACAGATTTATACACAATATTACCACAAGAAGAATCTCTGAATATTCTAACCCAAATTCTCATGAAACATGGGTACCGAAAAGTGAGAGGCGTACCAACTGATGCCATTCGGAAATTAGCTCGTCTTGTCAGCACAGAAAATGTGTTCATCTATGAGAAGAAATTCTATCGATAAGTCGTCACTGGAGCAATGGGATCTGCATTCACTTTAACATTGGCGAATATGTTCATGTGGAAATGGGAAAATGACTTTGCCCAACGACAAGCATCTTCAAACGAAATCTATGGCCGGTAAATTTCACCTTTCCATTCGAATGCTATATTATCCCACTCGTCATTTCACATTCCTTCACGTTAGATATATTGATGATGTCTTTTTCACTTCGACTGAGGCATTAGACAAAGTTAATGAAATGTTAGATGCGGCAAACGCAACATTGGATGCGATGTGTCATTTTTGGTTCTTCATATCGAAAACAAGAATGGCACTTTGACAGCATCAGTTTATCATACATGCAGCTGAACCGTACGTGGCACCGTTTACATCTAATCATCCCAAACACGTATTTGGAAATATTATCAATACTGTTCTTTGACGAGCGGTTCGATACTCCTCAACATCAGCAGTATTTGAAGACGAGCAACGGCTCGTCAAGTTGATGTTATTGTATAACGGGTAAGTTCGTCTACTACAGTTTGACACAGACCATCTTTATATTCGCAACCTTAGCTGTCCGCCTCGATTTATCTATGCACAATTCGATAGATTTGTCAATCAAAATAGAACGGATCAAAATGTAGTAAACACTTATCGTAGTGAAGAAGACTTCATCGAGAGGTGCCATGAATTATTGAATAAATCAACTATTCAAGAAATTGCCATGCAATCAAATGTCTTCAAAGCATCATGAGGCACTAACGAAGGATCTATGAGTGAATCCGCGGTTCAATTCCATAAAACAGGTCCATCGAAATGGGATTCAAACGTGATTGTCCATTACTCGTATGAAAATCGACTGTCAACTTACAAAAGAAATGTTCATCAACTATGGAATCAATATTTTCGTCAAACTTCAGTGATCAACACGCGCCTGATCATAGGAACCAAAAGCAATCTCAATTTGACAAAAAGACTTTTGCGACGCCAACCAAATAATCGACAAAGGGAACAGAACGAGAAAAACTGAGAAGTAGAGGTTTTAGATAATTTGTCTGCCATAGACTTCTTTTTCTTTTTTTTTCAATAAACTATCGAACTACTATCGTGTATAGATTATATTCAAACCAAGCTCCAACAAATCATATTTTATTCTTTTACTCTTTTTTATTCCACTAGGTTCGTTCGAAAAAATTCACTCTTACTCCTTCGCCTGGTCAAGATACTTGGTTATTTTTGAAAATGACCAATGAACAGACAATCTTTGCAATGACAGAGAAAATATGAGAACGCGCCTAGCTTCATTTACAGCTTGTCAGATGAAAAGACGAAGGAACTAATAACATTAGTCTACGTTGATTTTGTGATCATTTACTAACTATGTGCTCACTTAGGTTATGTATCCATCGAAATTCTTGACAAACTCTTCTAGTTGCTTTGTCGGTCACGATGTTTACATCAATCTCAACCAGGAATGTCAACAAATTATCAATGATATGCAAAGTCAAATATTTTTTGACAGCGAGGGTGCGCGATGGGCCAGGAGAGGTTAGCACCAAAGTAGCGATGTGAAGTGAGTGCCGCAGTATTTCACTACATGAAATAATAGAATCCGTCAACTTTTGAGCATGCAACTAAACATTTAAAATCAACTTTCAAGTTTGACACAAGTGAGTATAATCACATTCAACGAAACAAACACAAACATAAGCTATCTCATCTACGCAAACCGCATCACAACGCAGTCCTCCTCTACACAGCCGAACGCGCCATCTATAGTATTCCATCCGATGTTACTGATCATTCACCTCATTGCTTCCTAACACCCGAATGCAATGTACAAGAAACGCTAAAATACTATATATCGTATCATTCGCCACCACATAAACCGTATACCACGCTGCCTTTAGATCGACTATTTGTCGAACTACGCAGATTATGCAGGTTTATCTGTGATCTTCGGATCATTTGGATAGCCTATGCGGTTTAAAGCTATCTGATGATTCCTTTAGCGGGGTTAAAATCGCGATAATGGCGTGCTTTGACTCATCCACGCCCTCATCCGCTCACCCTCATGATAGTTATACAAATTTATTATATGTCGTTTAATGAACATAAGAGACAATTGTTTTTTATTCTAACATTTAAATATAGATTGATATGTGAACAATAAATAAGAGAGAAAATTTTCAAATGTTCGACATCATCTATCTTAAGTTTATAGCAACGATTCTTGACGTCTGCTGATGATTAATTCGATTTGATCTTCGTAAGGGGAAAAGATGAAGATGAGGAGAAAACCATGTATGAACAAAACTCATACCGGTAAATGATAAAATAAAACCTAACCATGCCAAATGATTTCTCCACCATCCAGCATAAGCAAATAAATAAAACATAATTGTCACACTAAATGCAGGAATAGTACATGAAATTACAAATATAATTGACCACACAATACGTTTTATAACTGTAACATCACGCGTAAATCTTGTTTGTTGTCGAAAAGTAAACGTTGAAGAATTTTTTCGTAAATAATATACTGTATAAATATAAATCGTTATTGTAATGGAAAGTGGTGGAATCCAAATGAGAANACAAGTCAAATCTGCATTTATAAATCATGGATTTATTCGTAAGTCACGAATATATTTATAAATCAAACAGATTTATAAACTACAAAGAGATTTATAAATCCTGAAGAATTTATAAACCAATGAGAATTTATAAATCACCAGTGAATTTATAAATACACAAAATGTTTATAACTGCCTTAAATTTCGCACGAAAAAATTTATGATTTATAAATCGATTTATTTATATTGATTTATAAATGAGCATATTTCGGACTCTTCAGTGGTATAATCCCTGGATAGTTCCATTATCCAAACACCATGTTATTCTCTAGTCATTTAGATTGTGTCAACTTACAGATAATGTTTTTGACATCCCTTATCGCACTAAAGTACCCTTATCATGTTTGACAGAAACTCATCTTGTGTTTTTGATGTGATCCATGATCCTAACGCGTGACACTTAGATTATATACATTAGTTTTGTTTTCAGATATTTTTGTGTTAGTGCGTGAGTGTATTTCTCCAAGTACTATATACAAACAAGGAAAATACAGTATCGCTGCGATTTCTTTTATCAAATAAAGCTTATATACCATATATATTCATATACGGCTCTATACCATCATCAGAAATCGTCGCTACCTTTCGAAATAAAAAAGAAGAAAGAAGATACTCGCTCAAAAGAATAAAAATTAACTATTCGGTTAATTCATTTTAATGATAAGATGAGAAGTAGATGGTAAGGCAGAGAAGGTATTGCTTTTTGGTTTTCTGTAGTTTATTGGCCGGATTCTGTCAGATAATTATCTGACTTCATCAGAAAAATACAAAATTAAAAAAAACTAATAAATAAATAATAAGTTAACAACGATGCAAGCGCATATATGATAATGATCCCGGGCTAGACGAAGCGTGGGATCTTGTTAAAATTGCCTGGCGTTTGTCTTGATCTCGCTGTTGTTGTTGTTGATGTGTGATACTCGTTTGTTTGGTGAGTATCTTTGAATGCATTTGGGCTCATTTCCATGAACCACAAAACTGAAGATATTAGTTTAAATTAAGAATACTAATCCGTAATCATTAATAGTGAACGGTCTGGCTTCTTTTTAACTAAATAATCTTGAAGATCATGTAACTTCTTAGTACCTACGATGGATCTTATGTTACAAATAGCTGCGTTTGAAGGACAATTTTTCCAGATTTCATTGAACTGGGTCGAAATGTCCTTCAAATCCTTGCAAAATGTAAAATGGCATAAGAAAGTGTTTTTGAAATTAATTCCAGCCTTCTTTGTTGTTTTCCTTCATACATTATTCAGAAAAATCTTTCTTATATTCAAGAAATTTATGGATGTAGGAGTTGAACATTGAAATGTCTTAAAATAAAATATGAAGGATATTTACTCAGTAGTAATGATACACAATTATGAGTTTGTTTTTTGTATAAATGCATCATAATTCGAACAATATCTTATTACACGTATAAGAGATCTAAAAGGAATATTTCTTTTTATGTGTCATGCATGTATAATTGCAAAAGGGTGAAGATATGGCTCATGTGAAAGTTTATGAAACACATTGGACACCAATTTCCATCTTGAGGGTGAGGGTGAGGGTGTGTCAACCTTGCTGAGGGATATCCTCAGTTGGTTTTCCACCATGTAAGCATGTGAAGGGCTGTAACTGACTGTGTTTTGGAGATAGGTAAAATAATACTCTTGATGGAAATGGTTGATAGGATTTTGTTACCCTGTTTGGAAAAATCTGTATGGTTGCTTTTGAAGAAAATGGAGTTGAAGACCATAACCTATGCAGTGTTTTAGAAGGTGTTGAATTGCTTGATATATGCAATGGTTGGACTAATGTTTTTTGTTGTTTTTGGATTGCGGTGAGTCTTTTGTGCGGTTGTGCTGCGTTTGTTAGCGTTTGCGTTGTGTTGTTGATGTTTAGGTATCGTGGTTTGTCCCATGATAAAATATTATAAATAAGTATTCTGATCTCTATTCGTTTTCTGTATTTTTAGGTTTGGTTGGGACTTGTAAAGAAAGATTGAAGTAGAGCATGTGTCGGTGATTTTCTAATTCTGTCTTTTCTTTCCTTCTTTATGAAGTTAAGCGCTGAAAAAATAAGTAGATTTTGTTCCATTTTATGAAAGAAAATATTATTTAGTTTATTCTGAACGTCTTCTTTGTTTTGTTTTTCATGAATATCTGAAGGAGATACGAGATTATTTGAAAATGAAAAAAATTGTAAAGATTGCCTTCGTTTTATCGGACTTGTTGTTTTACATTCGAATGAAGTGTTTGTGGTGTAGATGGTTAATCTGAAATGAAATGATTGAGACAGCGGAATTATTTCGGCGGCGGTACGGTCTAGCCTTAACGATTCTTAGTATTTGTCACCTAGCAGTATAATAAGATGAATGGAAGGTGCATAGAAGAAACGAATATGTATATATATATACAAGGATTTATATAGGAAATGTTTGATTGCATTATCTATTATTTAGTTTCGCTGTTGAAGACGTGATTGTTGTCCTACAGGTTGTTCGATCAAATTCGGATTGTCCTTGGTGCCTGTTATCAGGCGTGTGTTGATCACTGGAGTTTGCTGAAAGTGTTGGTCTCAAAGTTGATGGATGTCTTTTTTGCAGTCCGCTAATCGATTTTCATAAGTGTAATGGAAAATGATATTAGTATACCATTTAGATAGATAGTTATTATTTGATTGATCCATTTGATTATTTGTAGGATTTTCATTATTACTGTATACTGCTCTTGATATTCTTGATTGGACAATCATTTCTGGGATAGATAGTCTATGTAATAGTTCTCAGCGTTTGTTGCTAAAATCATCATCATTGTATATGGTATTGGTCACATTTTGATTTGCTCAATTGTCAGCAAAGAATGTGTTGAATGAATCGAGGTAGATACCTACAATTGTGAATAAGAGAATGATTAGATCGCGAACTCGGTACGTTTATCTAATCCGTTATACAACAACATTAATTTGATGGAGCGTCGTTCACTTTGAAATGTTGATAATGTTGAAGAATATCGAATAGCTCGTATAAGTACCGTATTGATGATACTCATGAACACATGCTTTGGATGATCAGATGTAAATGGTATCACATAAGGTTCAACTGCTTCTTTGTGATGATCTGATGTTGGCAATATGCGATTTCTATTTTCGATCTGAGCATGGAGAAAGGATGCGCTTGAGCCAATTTGACGGACTAATTTGATATTGGGATGAAATAAATTGACTTCATCTAACATTCGATTGATTTTAGCGAAAGATTCGTTCGACGTACAGATGATGTCATCCATGTATCTGTAGTAAAGAGCAATCATATAGATAAGTTGCCAGTATAGCACTTAAATTAAAAGGGTAAACGTGCTGGCCATAGATTTCATTTGAACTTGTTTGCTAAAGGACAAACGGTTTTTCCCATTTTCATATAAAGATATTGGCTGAAGTTAGAGTAAAATCTAATCCTATCGCACCACCGACTACTTGTCGATAGAATTTCTTATCATATGTAAACATATTTTTCTGTCAAAACCAGACGAGCTAATTTCCGAATGGCATCAAGTGGAATAAAGTTGTTGGTTTGAAATAGCCGTTAGCAGTAAATGCTCTGAGACGGCGAATAAGATCAACATTGTTAATAATTGTTGTTGAACGAACGTGCCTATCAAACAATGGTCGAAGTAGTGGTTCGAGAAACGTAGAAATGACGGTTGTCGGTGTATGTGTTGACGAAACAATTTTTGACCTGTCCATCAACATTATCTCTGTTGGACATCATCGATGGAAGACTGAAAGAATTCGTTCGTTTACATTATTTTAACTTTATCAGAGCAATTCATTATCGAATACACCAGTTCAAAGATGACATTCATGAAAAACAGATCGGCGAAGAATTGTATTATTATTTTTCGGATGTCGGCCAAGTTAGTATTATCTAGCCGTTAACGTTCATCGTTTCTTTTATATTTTTCTCTAGCTCGAGTTGATCGACCGATTAACAATCATTCGACAGAAACAGATGAAGGTGTTGGAAGAAATTATGCTGTTTGAACAACGAATCTCATATCATCATATCTAACCTCGATATAAAACAACTGAGCAACAGGCGTTTGAAGATGCTACAAGAACTTAAGAGATTTATGCTAAATGTTGAACTACAAGGGTATGAAAACAAGATTGAACATCAAGAATACTTATATCAACACGAGTTGTCCAGTGTCCAGCAACAGATTGAGAACACCAACTCATCTCTTCCTACGTTTCAAAGAAATTTGACTATCTGTCACACAACGGTAAGTATGAGATATACCAGTTTTTTCTTATCCACATTGTTTTTGGTTTTTGTCTTTTCCATTTTTGAAGGTCCTAGCTATATGCGACCAAATCAAACGTGTCTGTATTCACGTACATATCAAGGAAAACAAGCTGAACGAGAATACAATTAGATTCTTCGTGTGACAGACAAAGCCGGCATATTTCATTTCGGCGATACCAAAGCTTAAGAGCGAAAAGTAGACGCTTATCGGCAAAAAGTGGAAGCTTAGGTTTAATTAGAGACTAATCCACTACGGCCAGTCTTCGACAAAATTGAACTCGCTTATTTATGTTTCGTTTCAAAACTACATAAGGTAATTTGTGAACATCTTCTGCTGACTACCACCTACCGTTTTATTCGTATTTGTAGGAAGAAACTCCACTGCGCCCGATTGTACCATCAATGAATACGCCAACAGCTGGCATTTCCAAATTTCTTGATCGATTACTTCGACTGTTATTTGATAAACATGTTCGTTCAACTTCAATTATCGACGGTGTTGATCTCATTCGTCGTCTCGAAACGTACACGACAAATGACTATCCACAACCAACAACTCATTTGTGCACATTCGATATCAAAGATTTATACACTATGTGACCTCAAGAAGAGTCTCTGAAAATTCTAACCGAATTTCTCATGCTACATGGGTACCGAAAATTGAAAGGCGTACCAATTGATGCTATTCGGAAATTAGCTCGTCTTTTCATCACAGAAAATGTGTTCACCTATGAGAAGAAATTCTATCGACAAGTCGTCCGCGGAGCAATCGAATCTGCATTCACTTCAACATTGGCGAATATATTCATGTGCAAATGGGAAAAGGAATTTTCCCAACGACAAGCATCTTCAAACGAAATCTATGACCGTAAAACTTTACCTTTCTATTGGAACACCACATTATCTCCTTGTCCGTCTCACTTTTCTTTACATCAGATATATTGATGACGTCTTTTTCACCTCGAATGAGTCATTAGAAAAACTTCATGAAATGGTAGAACGGTTAATAATTTTCACCCAAACATTAAACTGGCGCGCAACATTGGATGCGATGTGTCGTTTTTGGTTGTTCTTATCAAAAACAAGGATGGCACCTCAACAACATCAGTTCATCATAAAAGCAGCTGAACTGTATGTGGTACAGTTTACATCTAATCATTCCAAACACGTATTTGGAAATATCATCAATACTGCTCTCTGGCGAGCGGTTCAATACTCCTCAACATTAGCAGTATTTGACGACGAGCAACAGTTCGTCAAGTTGATGTTATTGTATAACGGGTAAGTTCGTCTACTACAGTTCGAGACAGACTATCTTTATATTCGCAATCTTAGCTATCCGCCTCGATTTATTTATGCACAATTCAATAGATTCGCCAATCAAAATAGAATGGATCGAAATGTAGTAGACGCTTATCATAGTGAAAAAGACTTCATCGAGAGGTGCCATGAATTATTGAATAAAACAACTATTCAAGGAATTGCCATACAATCAAATATCTTCAAAGCGTCATGTGGCACCATCGAAGAATTTATGAGTGAATCCGCGGTTCAATTTCAGAAAACAGGTCCATCGAAATGGGATTCAAGCGTTATTATCTATTAATCGTATGAAAATCGACTGTCTACTTACAAAAGGAATGTTCATCAGCTATGGAATCAACAGGTGTCTGATCATAGGAACCAAAAACAATCTCAAGTTGACAAAACGACTTTTATGACGCCAACCAAATAATCGACAACGAGAACAGAACGAGAAAAACTGCGAAGTAGAGCTTTTAGATAATTTGTCTGTCATAGACTTCTTTTTCTTTTTTTCTCGAATAAACTATCGAACCACTATCGTTTATAGATTAGATTCAAACCAAGCTCTAACAAAACATATTCCATTTTTTTTATTGCACTAGGTTCGTTCGGCAAAATTCACACTCTTACTCCTTCACCTGGTCAGGATACTTCGTAAATTTTGAAAATGACCAATGAGCAGACAATCTTTACGATGACAGAGAAAATATGAAAGCGCGCCTGGCTTCATTTACAGTTTGTCAGATGAAAAAACGAAGAAACTGATAACATTAGTCTGCGTTGATTTTGTGATCATTTACTAACTGTGTGCTCACTTCGGTTATGTATCCATCGAAATTCTTTACAACCAGGAATGTCACCAAATTGTCAATGATATGCAAAGTCAAATACTTTTCGACAGCGAGGGTGCGCGATGGTTTAGAAGAGGTTAGCACCAAACTAGCGATGTGAAATGAATGCTACAGTATTTCACTACTTGAAATAATAGAATCCTTCAACTTTTGAGCATGCAACTAAGCACTTAAAATCAACTTTCAAGTTCGACACAAGTGAGTATAATCACATTCAAGGAAATAAACATAAACCGTATGACAAATCAATCCCCCTCTACACAACTGAACGCGCAATCTATAGTATTCCATCCGGTGTCGCTATAATCCGATGTTACTGATCATTCACCTTATTACTTCCTAGCGTCCAAATGCAATATACAAGAAACGCTAAAATACTATATATCGTATCATTCACCACCACATAAACCGTACACCACGCTGTCTTTAGATCGACTATTTGTCGAACTACGTAGATTATGCAGCTTTATCTATGATCTTCGGATCATTTGAATAGCCCATGCAGTTTAAAACTATCTAATGATTTCTTTAGCGGGATTAAAATCGCGATGATGACGTGCTTTGACTCATCCACACCCCCATCCGCTCACCCTCATGATAGTTATACAAATGTATTATATATCAGTTAATGAACATAAGAGACAATTGGTTTTTATTCTAAAATATAAATATATAGGTTGATTTGTGAACAATAAATAAGAAAGAAAAATTTTCAAATGTTCGACATCATCTATCTTAAGTTTATAACAACGATTCTTGTCGTCTGCTGATGATTAATTCGATTTGATCTTCGTAAGGGGAAAAGATGAAGATGAGGAGAAAACCATGTATGAACAAAACTCATACCAGTAAACGATAAAATAAAACCTAACCATGCCAAATGATTTCTCCACCATCCAGCATAAGCAAATAAATAAAACATAATTGTTACACTAAATGCAGGAATAGTACATGAAATTACAAATATAATTGACCATACAATACGTTTTATGACTGTAACATCACGCGTAAATCTTGTTTGTTGCCGAAAAGTAAATGTTGAAGAATTTTTTCGTAAATAATATACTGTATAAATATAAATCGTTATTGTAATGGAAAGTGGTGGAATCCAAATGAGAACAGTTGCTATCATTACTCCAATCCATTCTGTTAAAAGTATTTGACAATGATAATCTTCATAACCATAGATACCTGTGAAAAGAAGTGGTATTGGTTGAATTAGACTTAAAATTAGTTGAATAATTATACCAAAAATATATAAATAAATATTTTGATAGAGAGAACAACGTGTATAATAAACGATACGAACAAAACGATATAAGCTATGAAGTGTGTTTGAATAAAGTGAATAGGTCATAGCAACATTGATAAGATATGCTTTTATATGACACCATTGTATCTTATCTGTAAGTTGTAATGTATTTGGATATAGATGACCTTTGAGCATTGATATGAACATATCAAGAATAAAAAGAATAAATATAAATATACCCATATATAAATTTAAACTAAGAAGACAAGGAATTTTCTCTTTTGATTTTCTCAATTGATGACGAATTAAAATGAAAAGAATCAATAAAAATGTTTTTCCAATGGCTAATATACAAAAACTAATTGTAATAGAATCAAGAATAATATTTTCTACAAACGGTCCATGTGTAAAGAGTGTTTCGTTAGTAGATGTACTGTTTGCCATATGATATTCCTACATTAATTAAATGAAAATCTTTAAAACAATATAAAAGTCAAGACAATAATCTTCTGTCTTGATGTAAATCTGGAATTGAAATCAATGGGAATGTTTCCTAATGAAATTTTCAATTTTAAACTTAGAAAGTAGTACAATTGATGAAGTCATATGTATTTTTCCAAATATCCTGTTACTAATGTAAGACTTTTGACTATTCAGTTGAGTAAAACAAATATTTGTTACTACTGAAAGATTTTTCATGTGATTCAGTATATCTCTGGAATAAATGTGAATATCGTTCTAATTTATCCTCAACATCAATTTTCGTTCATAAACTTATCAGTTGTGCTACTTTCTAAGTTCAAAATTAAGAAGTAATACTTTTTATGGATAAAAAAAGAGTTTATGAGTACTCGTGCGTTCTCATTACATTTTCCAGCATGAGTGTTTATCGAGTACTCTTGATATGATTAGTACTGTTAGAGTTATTCATTTGCTGAAAATGACAGCTCTTAACAAAATTAATTTTTTTGTACTATCAAAGATTTAACAATCACATGATAGTGCATACACTATTTGCATTATTTTTTTGGAAAAATATTCTTGAATAACAAACAAAAAAGATATTCTAAAAAAAGATTTGAGAAATTATTTTTTTAAAGTAAAAATTCTGTAACTATATCAATTTTAAGTATGAATGAAAAAACTTGCATCATGTTGAATTAACCAATCATATTGTTTGCTATGCCTCGAAATTCCTTCGTTATTGTCTGTATAATTGACTTTTATTTCGATTGTGTATTCCACTCAATCATAGACAATTGCAATTTTTCTCTTATGTACTCTATAAATATCTTTTCGTTTCCTTTTCTTTCTATGGAAATTTAAAGGTTGAAAGATGAAAAATTATCAAATCTACATTTTGTTTATTTTCTTTTGTTTATGAATAACAACAAAAAGTAATGCTATACAAAATTCTAATTATCAAGCGTCAATACGGTAGTAAAATTTATAGTATTGATGAAACATTTATGGATAAATGTAATCGTTGTGAATGTGGAAATCAAAGAACTGTTTCTTGCACATTAACGTATTGTTTAGACAATAAATTACATTGAATTGCTGTTCATTTTCCTCTCAACAAAATAGTTCTTGAATAGTAATATTAGTTGGAATAATGTATTTGTTGACAAATAACCAAATAATTTTAGTCAGATCGAACGAAAAATAGAAAATAAACTTATAATCATTTCGTTTTCTCCTCGGTAGATCTCATCCGATCATATCGAGAAAGTTAGAAAATATTTATAGGTTTTATTAACAATAATCTTGAAGATATCATATATAAAACTGTCTTACATTGAAATTCGTAAGATTATTTCCTGGAATAGTATAGAATAACAAGGTTCAAGAATGGAGAAGTATTGTGGAATCTCGAATTCACACGAATCAAAATATTTCTTCATTATCTTGAGAAAGAACGAGATTTTCTTTAATATAATTCTAATATAATCATAATTAATTTGTTTAAATTCAGGGGAATTCATGGTAAAGTCTAAATCATTGTCATGATTCTCCAATGCCTTAACGGCGGACAGGGTTTGTCTGAATGCAGGAAGGAAGTAGTCATACTAGCAGTGATTATGGATCCTTTATAAGCTAACACCATGTTCAGAACTACCAGGTAGGATAAAAAAATTTCCCACGCGGATGAAGTGGGTGAAGTATAATTATTATAGTTTTTCACTTGGGTGGCTCGATGATGTGGCTCAAGCTCACTATAAATCTACTCTGGCGATTTTTTTAAAGTATTTTCAATTATTTTCGAAAGGGAAAGGTCAAAATAACCGCTGTTACTATGCCAAAAAATGTGAAAGAATAACACTTTTTTAACAGAACCAGAATATCTTTTTAGATAAGTTTAAAATATATAAAGTTGTTTCACACTATAGCTTAAGCCTATTTCTAATGATACCATTCAAAACTCTTATTGAATACGCAGAAAAATAGTGACATATTGGGAACGCATTGTGCTTAAAAAAATTAGAAATTTTGTGAGCAATATTTACATGTTCAATGGTGATCTTAGTAGGCTCTTCTCTCCATCTTACTTTCATCTAGGCTGTCTTCATTTTAAAAACAGTAGTTTTTGTGAATAAGACGCTATCCTATCACTATATAGCAATTAATGTGATGTCCTCTACAAGGGACAGTCGGACGTAAAGACTTAATCTTGAGGGTGAGGGTGAGGATGGATGAGGGTGTGGGTGGATACGGGTATGGATCCAGGAACTTGTCACTCACCCTCACCCCTCGAATCACTGAAATTATCGAAAATACCTCGAAGTGTCCTAATTTTCCTTCTCTTGTCGGCCGTATCCTTCTTTTTTATTTATTACCCGTGATTAAACATATGAAACAGAATTTCCCCAAATTACTGAAATTACCTCGAAATTTCTTGATTTACTTTTTCTTATCGACCCTACCTTTCTCTCGTATCTATCATTCATAGTGAATTGTATGATATAGAATTTTGGGAAATTTCTTTTTTTTTGGAAATCTGCACACTGCTGGTATCTGTTGATAAATTTAATCCTTAGAATATTTCAATCGATCAATCTTTTGTTGTGTGCTATTCATAAAAAGCTTTTAAATAAAAACAAAAGAGGAATTCGATATAATGACAATATCTATTGGATCTTGATGATTGTGTAAGATAATGAAGAGTTTTACGACTTTTATTCATATTGTATTATAATTTTTTTTTGTGTTTAAAAAGCCATTATTTATTATGATTTATTACAAGAAGCACAAAAACAACAAAGGCAGCAAACAGCACCAAGAGCAATAAAAGCACCACCAACACCTGCAGCTGGAATATTTTTAGTACCACCGCCAGCGGAAACGCAAGAAATACCAATAAAAAGAAAGATAATAGTGAAGATAAGAAGGAGGCAAACACTAGAATTACTGCCACCGCCTCGAAGGTAAGCTAATCTTTGTTGAGTTGGCGTCGATGAACCGCCTGGCACAACAATTTTCACTGGATCTAAAAGAAGTTTTGCAAATCCTAAGTCAAATCAAAACTATCAAAAACACCGATACGAATATAGAATTTTAATCCATAAACTAGTACAGATTTTCAAATTGTGTAAGTATTCATATGCTTGTTTAATTTATCTTTCGAAAACGAACTCATAAGAATATTTTTGTTCATTCAAATTGATAAGATGAACAGCCGTTACTATTTGATCTTACCCGTTGTTTTTGATTCGTTTACAAGTTCTGTTATTGTTGAAATCTAAAGAAAGATACATCTTAGTTAAATTGATCTGTGAATCATTGACGAATTGTGTCAAGTACTAATGAAGTATACTTTCGATTTCTCAGTCACTACATTCAATTTTAAGTTGAATTTTCATCAATTTATCATTTTTATAAGAAGAATGTTTTCATATTTTAGAAATTTTTCATAATTATTAAAATACTCACCTGCATCTTTTCACTGGGAATGATAGCGAATTGACTGCAATGTTACATATTAAAATATACATTGACTATCCGATTTATATATAGTGAGAATAAAAACGAATTTTCCAACAACCATTTTCTTCCTTATAAAAGTTATTGCATCAAATAAAATGTTTACTCGAGAATTGAGTACTGCTTCTTTGTTTGATTAACATCATGAAGAGAACACTTTATGTACAAAGAAAAGGTAGGAAGAGAGATGATGCGTTTTTTCCAACTTTTATTTTCGTTTTAAAATTTGAAATTTCTTAAACCAAAAGAAAATGAATCGGTACATTTTGCTAATAATCACTTTCATAGTGTGGATAAAAATTTATCCATTATTAATTTTATATATGGAAGCATAGAGATCCTCATCTAAATGTCAAAAATATGCAGTTGAATAAGAAATAGCTAAATCGATGATGTCTTTGTTATTTACATCAAAATCAGTGTATAGAAGAAACATATTATCATTAGTTGAAGACGATGGTATTGATTGAATATTTCTGACAATACTATGTCGTCTTGATATCACATTTTGTTGAATATAAATATTGTAGAGTGATGTATAAGTAAGATTAAAATTATTGATATTCTCAGATAATAACAGAGTTCGGAGGATACTAAGAAAGACAGATTTGGTTAATGGGTGAAGATTCACTAAAATATTATTGATAATGATGCTAATCATATCGTTATATGCTGGTGTCAGTGTCATATAAATAGATGATGGTGCTAATATCTCTTGAGCATAAATATAATTAGCAGTTTGCATCTTAATAACTACATTAATATCATTGGTATTCGTATAAAATCCATATAACGTCTGACTACATCCATCAGGTGGTGAATAATTTGATGCAGAAAAGAAAGAATTAACATCAGGATTAATAGTATCATCAGTAACAATGATAATACGTGAAATATTATTTGTAATCAATTTCGCATAAGTATGGTTGAGTAAATCTCTTGAATATTCAATCAGTGTGATAAGAATTCTGCTGATTATAAATGCATCAAGAAGTAAAGCAAGTCGATCGATATATGTTTGATTGAATCCACACGGATATCTTAAAGTCATAAAGATAATTTCGTCATTTGTTTTCTGTAAACAATTCCAAGCTTGTAATAAAACATCTGATAGAGAAAGTCCTTGTAATACCTGCGCTATATAAATATCATTTTCAAATAGATTTAGACGAAGATCTAGTGCACGATTTCCATCAATTAATTGAGAATAGACTGTTTTGGTCGTACATTCACTTCCAATTCGAATACTAGTCATAAATAATCTAATAAAATGATCGAATGATTGGGTAGCATGAATTTCGCCGTACGGTTAAAACATTGGTGAAAAAGGTATTTACTCAATTTAGACAGAGCCCTCACCCACACCTGGTGCCGTGTGTGCGCGCTAAACGTGTTAAGGAGTGTAGAAACTATTTTTAAGGAAAATAAATGGTTGTGAAAGTCCATGGCGAAAGTCAGTACGCCGAAATTCGCGTTTCCCCGATCGATCTGGGTCCAACAATGGAAACACCTGTAATAACCAGGGGTAATACCACTAGTAATTAGGGGTGGATATTTGCGTTAATTTGAAACTAACGTAAACGGAAACCTGCTAACCGTTAATTTCCATTTAATCAAGTTATTAACGTATAAGAAAGCTTCTCTATTACTTCAGGGACAGTTGTAAATCTATTCTGGCTCAACAGCTAAGCACCCATTGACAAGAACTCAAAGATCCACAGATGAGATTACACAATCCGAGGAAAACATTGAACATCTATAATCAAATCAGCAACCAACTGAGATCTCTGAATAGCAAATAGAATCCGTTTTGCAAATAGCGTCTTTTAACCTTAAAGGCTCTCCGGATCAGTAACCAACAATCAAGTTGAAGAGGTACAGTTCCTTGAAGTAGAATTTCACAGTCTACAATTGAGTTTTACGAAAGTATAACATTGTGATACAAAGACTGAAGACAATAATGCGCTCGGGAAGAATTTCTAGCGAGAATAAGCTTTTGAAAAAAAATTACGGTCATAGCTGATTGGCTGAAATTGACCAATGTGAATTCGGGTTAATAAGCCTTGGATTGAAGACTTTCTTTAAGACTGGTTTCCACAATGGCGTTAAACTGAGAGATAGCTGTCAGTAAGGATCATACATTATGATTATTTAATCGTTAATCACTTAATTAAGTGAAAATTAACGTTAACGCGTTCCATTTATTAACAGTCGTTAATTAAGATATATTAAATTAAATGATCCGTCCTTACTTTTGACGATATCATTGTCCTTTTCGTCGGGCACGAAAACATCGTAGTGATAGATGCGTTTGAACAACCAAATGAAAAAGCTTATAATCTGCATTTTCCCATACTGAATTACGAGCACAATATCCTAAAAATAATGGTAAAAATGTATGGAAAGGTCAGAAAAATGTTTTTCACAGGTGATTTGCGAGTTGTTTTCAGATGAGAGTTCTTCTCGAAACTTAAAAGTTTCTTCGTATTCATTGGAAGAAGATTTGGTCCATTATTACAAATGAAATTTTTATTTGAAGAGGTGGGTGTGGATGAGGATGCGGTTGTCAGATAGATGAAGATAATAGTGGGAATACAGATATCGTTTAACAATTTCTCACTCTCGTTCTCCAAATGAAATCGAACGGAACCGGTTCTCACATTGCACAATACAACACAATAAAATGTATTCGACTGTCTTGAGAGAAAATAGAGAACGAAAGTCAAATGCTATCCTTCGGTTGTACGTATAGTTTCGATATGACTTGGCTTAATTTGATTTTGTCGATGTCTGTTCATATGCATATCGTAGAAAACGTATTTGGCTTGATGACGAAAGCGTTTTGAAACACAACTATATGTGTAAAATGAGTTCTAAAGAAAATTAACAAAAGAAAACATTGCTAATTGATTCGAGAACAAACAATACTTACTCCGTAGCTCAGAAAAGTTAGTGTTAACGTAATCGCATTGGCTAATTTTAATTGAGCAAGAAAAATTGGATTGTTATTCGTATTGAACGATGATATAGCATAGATGATTGAAAACGGCATATAAGTACAAACATAAACGCAAATTTCCACGAGAACCATTGTCGTTAATTGTTTATCCAGCTCACGTCGAACAAGTGGATTTGGTCGTGTTGTTAAACTACGGGCATTTCGAAAAGCTAACAAACCAAAAATGGCAGCAATCAATGGGAAAAGATTTCCATATGTAAGATAGTATACATATACATTATATTCATACAGAACTGCATTGGATGATATACAAAGTGCAGCATTGACTGGTGATAATTGATTGAAATAGAGAAAAAATGGAACTGCATGCCCCGCCCAAACCAGTGTAGCGATGATCACGGCCCGGTGGGCAATTCGAGTATTCGACCATTGTTGCCATCGTGGGCGAGAAGATGTTGCAAAATATTGATCAATGATCGCTAAACATAAGCAGGATAGCGCAGAGAAATTACATGCCGCGACAACAAAATTCCTCAATTGACAGTAAAAGAACGAAACGGACAAAAAATTGATTGGAAATGCCATTGATATTGCGAGAAACGATGAACTCAAAATGAATCGAATCAGATTAAATAATGCCATTGACATTAAATAAAATGCACAAGAACTTTGTCGAAATGTTTTTAAACTAAGAAAAACAATGACGCTGCATAATTCACTGATAAAACCAATTGCACAGACGGGTATGGAAACATAAAGAGCAAATTTCGATCGAGCAGATAAGAGTGAAGTGATATAGTCAGTATTCATGATGAATATTTCGAAAGTAAAATAGAGATAGATAACGATGTTTTCGTAGTTTTCCTTAACGCAATATGAAAGTATTATAAGCAACGAATGCTCTAATGATAGACTGAATATAGTCTGGAAGGATGCCAATTATAAATACAACTGAAGCCGACAATGTTAAGTACATGAAATAATTGAAAGTCTAATGAACCATTGTGGTGCCAAGTATTATGTGTTCTATGGGATCAATCCTCCTGCTAATATGTTCACTTTTTACTTGTTGACATCGGGTGTAAGCACAACTCTCTATTTACGACCGTGAAAAAGCCAGTATTCGTCTCTGATACGGAACGATATACACGACGCAGTACTTATGCTGCAGAATATCGAACAGTACAATACATTCATAGTTGTGTTATATTCTGACTGTCGCATCCAGTAGATGTTTAAGTCTTTTAGGTATATCAGATGAAATAATTACTTTTCTTTTCAGTCGGATGATTACATATCTTATCTTCGAAAAAATACTTCAATTTCCGTATCATGTCGGTTTATTTAAAGAAACTGAAGAGATTAGTCAAAGTACGTCGTTGATAATTTGAATGGGTACAACTAACCTCGTCCAGACGGTTAATACGCCGTAGATATCACAGCGTTTTTTAATTACCAGAATGTAACTTATTTAGAAGCAAGTATTTAGATCTTTTTGAAACGATAGGAAAGATACAATTTTGGAGCGTTCTAATAGACTAACTGTAAAAAATCTGGAGAAAGAAGTGTAGATGCAAAAGGAGCGTCTTCTTTAATACGTCACCATGCACGATGACTGCTGTCTGTTGAGGATTTTATCCATTGTATTTACCATTGATAGTCAACGCTTCACCATTGCAGCAAACGGGTTCGTTCCATTTCACGGTTCGCTCTTGCTTTTAGTTCTTACTGATTTGACTTAGTTTATTTGTCCATTACGTTCAATACTCATGTGAGCTTAGTCACTAGCAGACCATGTTCCAGCAAATTTCTGCGGTACCTGCGTGGAAAAACACCCTTCGATACACATAGATCAAGTTCTGTGCTTTTAATTCTTTTAAATCATCCTTTGTTTCAAAGCCAGCTTTTATATTTGAGTGGCAATGACACAAATCGTGAGTGTTTGATTGATCGAAGAAGAAAGCCATTGACCCTGTAGCAAAGAGATGTGATCGGAAGTAGTTGTTCCTAAATACATCCACGCTTCACCGCAATGGCGTCATTTTGTTATGGACATTTTCTTCTCTTTAAGGGCAAAAAATCACGGAAAAGAGTAAACGAGGTTTGTTCTGAATTACAAATAGCATCGATATGACCCTTTTTCCGGTGGATTTTTGTTTCTATGCATCGAACGAGAATGACTCAGCAACTTCACTTATGTGATCTACTTATTTCATGTTGACCGTGCTACATTCGTATTATTACTCATCCGTTTCTATAAAGTCGTATTCGGTATGTGTGTACAAATAACGTTCATTTTCCTTCTTATTGGTTACAATCGGAAGTCGTTCCGAACATAACTGAATACTAAATTAGTAAAGATTATGTGAATTTTTCAATATCAAGCCTGGCGCACGGTTTCCATGTATGAATTTGAGATATGTATATTTTGCTACCGAACAAATAATTTTGCTTTGAATAGTTTGATGGAATATATCAACATGCTATGAAGAAGGCGTTGCCCAGTGGCGGTAGAAGCCCTTCTGGCCAGAGAGATATAACAGAATCCGGTCATCTTTCTGCCAACCGATTACATCTCTTCTTCAAACCTCTATCTTCTCTAAATACTCTTCCCATACCATGATCTTCTTTGTGAGTAGAGTTTCATGAATTACACCAATCACTATCATTACTTTTAAGACGAGAGCATCATCAATGTTCGACACTTAGACAAAAAATGATTCCTTTCACATCTCCGAGACACACTTCTTGCAACAGCGCCATCTATTACATGCCTCATCGACGATTTCCCACCTCTTCGGCATTCTTGTATTTCAGTTTTTCCATATTTTTTCTTTTTCTTTAATAAAACAGTTCCATTCTTACCTTATAAGTCCCTTAAGCAAGGACGAAACGCGTAGTGAGTGCTTGGAACTGTTTATATGTTTTTGTACACTCACCCCACCCTTATTCGAATTCATACTATATCCTATTTTCATCATGTAAAATCGATAGAAAGACATGCTAACTATTGTCCTGAAGTACGTTATTGTCTTTAGATATTTCTTGATATCTTTAAGATATTTTCCGTACATCGTGGATAATGAGTTCTGTTTTGCTATGTCGGAAGATTTTATCTGTATGGATATGAGATCTCTCAAGTCCTCGTGTAGCAACATGGATTCGAAAAAGTCTATCTTACTTTCGTTTATGTCCTGATGCATCAAGATACACTCAGAAAATATCTCGTCATGTAGTCATTAACTGACTGAAGTGAAAATCAACTAGTTTAATTGGTAAAGCAACCGACCGGTTATCGGAAGATGTGGGTTCGAGTCCGATTTTGATTCAACGATCTTCTCAAATAAGTTTTTCGTACTTATTTGAACATGTCTCTGCGCATACATCTACTGAAATGTTTTATATGCATTCGTGGACAGATGAAATGATTACTTTATTTGAACTCCTTTACATCGTCATTTCAAACTCACTCACACCCTCACCTTCAGGGATTTTTTATCTAAATTTTTACTATGCAGATTTCATTTACCAACTGAAGATTGATTCTTTGAAATAAGAATCGAAATCTGGATTGAGGTAGTTTAATTCATAACACACCAACCCTCACCCTCACCCTCGAGTTTCACTTATATATCATTTTTCATTGATCATTCAGTATTTTTCTATTGATCATTTAAATACACGCCTTTAATCAGATTTCTTTTGTAATTGTTCATTATTTGAATATTGATTTAAATTGAAAAGAATATTTCTTTCTCTTCTAATAATAATATAAGAAATAACACTTGTAAATATCACCACAAATGCATTTAATATTGTACTTAATGAATCAATATCATGTACTGCTATAATAAATATCCAAAAATTCGCATTTCCATGTAAAAATATTGACCATTTCATCATATCAAATAACGATAATGATTGTTTATAAATATTTCGACGAATTAATCTTAAACTAACTAAATACGAATATAAACAATGAAATGTAATACCAAAAAATATTCGTTGTAGTGATGTTTGCAATAAATCATATATTGTTGAATTCAAATTAAATCCAGCAGACATCTGATATGTTAAATTTTCCATTGTAGAAAAACCTAATGATGAACTTATCATATAAATTGAGTAATGTAATGATATATTTGTTTTATATTGATCAGCTATTTTATATTTTATAAATTCTTCTATTGAACCTGCAATTACAAATGATAATAAAAATAAAAATAAATAAAAATTGAAATTTTTTTCAACATGAATATTTTTCATATCTTTATATGATGTAAAATTTGGACTTTGAATTTCTTCATATAATTCAAAGAATTGTTTAGAACCAAAACAAATGATTCCAATAATAATACCTAAAATCATTTGAATGATCATTATTATTAAAAAACCAATTGAATTTGATAGAATATATATTTGTTCTATTAATTTAAAATCAACATCAGCATAATATTTTTTCCAATAATAATAAATTGAAATAATTGGAATATAGAATAATGGTAAAAATAAAAATGCTTTCCAATTGAAAATTAAAATTATTAATAAAAATATAAGATTTAATATAAAATAACCTTTTGATAAATCAAATGATAATAACCATCGAGAAAACATTGTTAGAAATGGATCGTTATAGTTTCTGAAACTATACAATAATAGAACAGAATTAATTGGCCAATCGAAATACAGAGCATTATATTACGTATAATTCAACAAATATTGTCGCTCATGTACGATTATTTCACATAAAAACAGGTTGTATTAGTATTATATATTAATTTTATTTGAAAATCAATTAAAAAAACATGCATATAATGAATATTTTTCAACGAGAGAGAGACTGACATCTATATTCTCGTCTCGCTTATGACATTATGGCCCCAGATACACTATGAAAAATAAAACAGGAATAAGGAACATGATTGACTGATAAGTTAAAACAGAATTAAGTCAGATCGACTGCTTGACTTAGGTGATAAATCGCCAATCAGAATAATCTATCGTTTATACGAATGAAAAAATAAGTGTGGCGCCACTATCATCTGTTCTGTTTTGTCGAGGTGGACTGTCTTTCGACGATCATTTTGATAATAGCGGACGTCGATAAGAGAAGTAAACTTTTTGTTCATTCTAGTCGAGTCTTTTGATAGATATTACGGCATATTTATCAGTTTACTGTATTATAGATAATGCAGCAGCCACATTATAGTCTTGAGGGTGTGAGGGGTGAGATGAGCTGCCATGACGCGTTTCGTCTTTTGCTCAAGAAGACTCATCAGATGGCTTAAATCTCAGATAATTCCAATTAAAATTAGCGAAATTCAGTTTTGCAACGAAATCTCATCAATTTCAAAGTAAAATCATCTAAAATTTGATTATTCTTTTATAAGAAACCTTAAAATGAATTATATATTTCATCAAGCTTGACACTCACCCTCATCTTCAATGTTGCTCTATTGACGGACAGAAAAAAAGCGAGCTTTGTCTTTTTTTCTTCGTTGTTTACGTGGCTGATAAGCATCGTGATAAGCATAAATGTAACTGTTTATTTGCTCTTGTGTGAAGTAATGAGTATCTGGGTCGGTATTTTTCTGCTATTTGTATTGAGGACTGATGGACGATCATCGCGTTATCACCGATATCGAATATCACCATTGACGGGCGAACGGATCGCTTTACCAAGTTTGTATTTATGATCTCAAACAGTTTGTATAATTCTCTACTGTAAAATTCAGCGCCCGACCAATTAGAATGGCAAGCACAGGAGTTAGGCGTCTTAATTCATTTCAACATGGCGACTTATGTCGAACAGCACGATGCATGTCCAAATGATTTAGTTCCATCTACTTCTCGATTTAATCCATATCTACTATCTACGGATAATTGGGTTCAAACAATGATAGATTTTGGAGCGAAATATGCTGTGCTTGTTGCCAAAGTAGAAAGTTCTTTTTTTTCTTTTTTACTCTAAAATGTTTTCTCTCCTTGATCAACAAGCACAACTGTGGTTTTCTCCTCTCTCCAACGAATGTTACATTTCCATTAAATCCATCGGGAGAAGTTGTGCCATATAATTATACAGTCAACTATTCACCTGTGAAAGGCGTAGATATTCTTGATGAATTTGTTAAAAGTTGTTATAAACAGAAAATACAGACTGGCTTTTACTATTCAACAGTAATAAACAACTATCTCAATGTTCGACAGGGCTATGCAAGTTTTACTTCTTTCCAAGAAATTTTCAGTCTCTTTCTTATTGTTTACTAGGTTCAAAATGATACGTTGAAAGAGGGCCAATTAAATATTACGCAACAAGTCTATACTAATATCGTCTTATCTCATTTGAGAGAATTATGGACAAATTATGGAAATCTTGAAGAGATTTGGTTCGACGGAGGGTTAATTAATCAAAGAGATAAGTTTCATTTCAGCCTTTATTAACATTTAGTTTTGCCCCAGGAACACTCGATACCATTGCAAAAATGCTTGCCGAACTTCAACCGCATGCAAATGTTTTTGGCGGAAGTGACGTGACGGCAAATTCTATTCGATGGATTGGAAACGAACTGGGTCATGCACCGGATCCAACTTGGTCAACTGGAACTAGCTCCGGTGGAGGTGATCCAAATAGTCCAATTTTTTGTCCAGCTGAATGTGATACAACTTTGCAAGTATTCGATCGATGGTTTTGGGTAAGACAGCAAATTGATGCGGAAATAATCAGAATTGGTTTCTATTTTTAGGGTCCACATGTTCTACTCCGTCCTCTCCCAGATTTGATTGATGTTTATCATCGAACCGTGGGTCGAAACTGTTTACTGATGCTCGATTTAACGCCCGATCGATCGGGTATTATTCCTCCTGAATATGCTAATCGTTACAAAGAACTTGGCGATTTTATTCGTTCCTGTTATGGAAGTTCTGTCCGGCCCAGTATTCAGAATTCCTCGGCTGATTTTTTGACGTACATGCTGGTGTTCAATGCGCCTGTCAGTGTTGATCGTTCGGTTATTCAAGAAAATCAAACTCGTGGACAAGTGATCCGTGCCTATACTATCACGGTGTTAATAGCCATCACGAAAGACCAAAGTGAATGGACGGAAGTGGCGACAGGTACCAGTATTGGAAATAAGAAAATTGATTTGTGGAAAAAAGGAACATTACTGGTACGAGCCGTCAAATTAAATATTACTAAAACTGTCGATGTGCCTGTATTAAAATCGTTTACAGTTCATTTATGTGCTTGAAATGAATTTTCTTTTTATTATTTTAAAGTTCCTCATCACATCTAGAAGAGAAAACTGTTCGAAACAGAAGATATCTTCGCTGAAAATTCTCTCTAAGAGAGAACTGAAATCTCGATTGCAGTCAGTTTTTTCCCTTTTGAGTAACGTTGTGCTGTTATATGACGCGAAGAATCAGTGAAATCATCAATTTTAGCTATAAGAAAAACCGGCGATGTTTTAGTAGCTTGCATTTATGTCGTCATTTCAATTATAACTTCAGAGCTAAAAGAGCCAGACGTAAGACAACCTATGCGTACTGTTTATCTTTCACCACCAATGCGTTGATGCACACCGATAACTATCGTTACTCCAACTTTGTTCCGATTTCGTTCATGAATGAATCTCGTCAATTTTCTTACGAGTTTGGGCAATGTGCTCAGACATACCATTGGCAAAAATAGTGGAACCAGGTAAACATTAAATAGGATTATGTCAAGATAGTCAACCATCAATGTGGGCATAACAGTGATTTGAACAAACTTCGTGATCATTAGTGGTAGCCAGCATATCAAGTATATAGACGAAATTATCCAGAGCTGAAGGATCATTTTACGATGGTTTCGCCAATTAATTCTTCGATGGCGGGATATTTTCTCATAGTTCACTCGAATTAAAAGTAGTAAATTAACCAGAAATATAACTGACACAGGAAGTGCAACGTTGAAAAGAAAATTAAATTCACCGACAGATTTTTTGATGTAATAACATGGTACACCACAAATAATTAGATCAAAGCTCCATGTCTGACTACAATACGGACTAATGATAACTACTAAACAATAGAAGAATGGTGTCCAACAGAGACAGATGCCAATCGGTATAAAATGGTACATCCACTTTTTAAAACGCCCTTGAAATATTGTATGGGAATAAAAAATAAATATGTACCGTTCGACTGAGATCCATGCCATAAGAAAGATACCTATCGTGTTCAAGGAAAATTCAGACCAAGTCCACCATACGCAATATAAATCTGATGCAGGAATAACTCGACCCACATAATAGAAACTCATAGGCATGGGTAAATCGATAACAATTTGGATGAAACTAATAGTGACTAAAACAAGCCAACCATGGTTTTGAAATTTTGATCGAGCCATGCGATTCGCAGCAAAGTATACAAAGATAATGATAGAAAAAAATATTGCTGGAATCTCCAAAGCAAGTAATATACTGAATTTACTTGCGGACTGCATGTTATATACTACGACAAAATAATAAAATGAAAATTCTTTTTCATTTCGTTTTCTCTAGATCTATATCGCGTATTGAATTGGTTAGATAATCGCAACATCTCACTAAATTGAATTCAAATCAACTACTCCTAAACTAAAAAAAATGAGTGAACTCTCTCAGATGAACATTTTTATTAAATAAGACGTAACTCGAGAAATACATCAGCGGCAATGCTGACTGAAAATCTTTTTCTCTTGTCCTTGGTGGCGGCTAGAAATTTAATGCTCGGGTAGTTAGAACCTATAAAAGTTCAGCTCACTTGCCTCTTTATATGGATATTAACATCTTCAAAAGCCAGAATTGCATATATAGAGAAATTAACGCAGAATCAAGTAAGGATTAATAATATACCGATAGTCGCATGCTTATCAAAGCACAAAAATTAATGATAAAACAAGAAGTAGTCGACTTTTTAGTTTAAAAAAATCATAGTCATAATATGCACTTTCAAAATCGATTGTCTCATCTGTTTTTTTTTGTACAAATGATCAGAATTATTAACATTATATATTTCAAATGACGAACAAATGCACTAGCCACAAATTTTTGAATAATATATAGAAACATGCACTTTTACTGCGAATCTATGAAAATCTAACCATTATTTAGATCGAGTTTGAACTTTTTATTCGTCAAAATATTGGCGTACCTCTGCAGTATTGCTTTCGCCCGCATTCTCGTTTGAAGACACTTAACGAAAGCGATTTCTGAAAAAATGCAACTGTTTTGTGGGTGTTGGCTTGAACGTGTGATATCGATTACCTGACCCTTGCTTCGTGTAGAGCGTAGAGTCAGGATGTAAAACATCGAATCTTGCAATACTCGGACCAATTTTATATACTTCATATGTAGTTTTAACCCATCCCGTGACTTGATTCACAGCAGCTTCATTCAATTTTTTAAGCAAATGTTCACATATTTTTGCAATAATCATTGATGGTTGGTTGACTTCGCCTAATAACTGCTCGTACGTCAATGCTTCTAGTTGCTTTCTCTCGAATCCAGAAGAAGGCAGTGGCCGCAAAGAGAGAAACCACCAGTTACTATCGGTATGTTCGGTCTCTCTCTCTGCTTGAAATATTTGTATCTCATGGATTAATTGGCGATGTTCCTGTTCAAGTTTTAACTTCAAATGAGATAATCCGTCCATGATAAGGTATTGTGTCTCTTCTTTTGAAACTTCATTTGCAAACATATTCCAAAGCATTGTTTGTTCGATAATATGGCGAGCAATCCGTCGGTTTTTCATGCTCTCTCGTATAGTAGAAAGGTTGCTATAGGAAGCCCATCCCAGTAATTCCAAAAAGTGTAGAGGCTCATCATTCTGAGATTCAGCAAACAGCTGCGAGGATAAAGGAGCCTTACATACATCACGCCATACACATTGGCGTATTTGATTTTGCATCTGATCATAGATAGTTTCGACCAAAGCTTTGTATAATGGTTCCAGAAGTGTCTGTGTAGTAGTTCTCCATTGCGGTGGGAAAAGATCTTCCCGGTCATTGTCCCAAAAATTGTAGAGACCAAAATGAAAATCTAACCATATAGGAGAATAAAAATAAGATGATTTTGGGGCAATATGACTGTCAATCAGTGATTTGAAGTTCTTCTCTTCTGCTTGCTTCCATTCGCTAAATGTATTATTGAGGTCTCTTCGATTCATTCGCACATATTTATCTTGACTACTTTGAAGTCGATTCAGACGCCTAATCAAGCACGGCTTGAACAAACGAAAATAACGTTTAGCCACCTTAAACACATGACGACGCACATTTCGATGGAACAACCTAAAAGCACTTGTGATGAACATAACGTACCAATAGATTCGCTCATGCACTTTGTCATCAGTCGAGTCATACGCTTCTCTAACGAGTGCGATGGCAAATCGAACAACCATGTCGCACATTTGCGATGGCCGATGAACTTCGACGTACGAATTGTTCAAGGGATTGTAGGTGATGGTGTCGAAAAAAGACACATCAACTTCATCCAAAGATGGATCTCGGTGGATGAGAAGGCCAAAGTAATCCATATGAAGAATGGTTAATATTGGATCGTGGTCTTCAGGTAGATGAATGAAAAGATCTCGAATGTGGCGGTATGGAAACCAGTCTAAGATGAAGCGAAACGGCTCGAGATCGATTTTGGGATGAATAATGAAATAACCTTGACCATCGCGTGCACATTCAAAGAAATCGGCAGAAGACACAAATGCAGCTAGATACGGTATTTTGTTGATTTGATCTTCAGTCAGTGTCACCACATGGCCACTCCCAAAACGAAATGACCTGTGTGTTTTCCGTAATAGTTGACTACGGACGTTCATTTCAATCGTCGATCAGAATCTATGATATCCATACCGGTTACACTACCGAATATATATGTGCTTTACTTCGAACAAGCAAGTTGGAATTTTCTATTTACTGCTTTCCATTAAATGAATCATTCTTGGTTTTTTCCACCTTCACCGTTCACTTCGGTTTCAATCGTGTAACTTATCTCACGTCAACATCGAAAACGGTTGTCTGAGTATTGTCGAGGATATTCATCGCTATAGACCGGAGGGCAGTGTTTAATTCAATTAAAAAAAACACAAAAGCGCTCCCTTTGTTATGTTGTGATGTGTCTGGGTATCCGTCACACCAATCAGCGGTAAATACACAAAAGCTAAACAAGATCTCTAGATGGAGCAGGTATCGTGAGGGTGAATAGAGTATTATGTAGGAGATACATGTTGATTAGAATTGATAGAATTCGTCAAGTTCTACTCGGAATCAATGTGGTCAGAGTGGAACGCATACTGATGCCAATTGGACACAACGATATCGTATATCTCATACCTAGAGAGATTCATGATGAACTACTACGATTGGGCTCAGCAAAACTATCTGAATTTTCTACCAGCGATCGAGGTACCACCTATTCATAAAGATATGCCAATAAAGAGTCTGTTTTAATAAGATTGTGTGTTTTTTCTATATATAAAAGGTAACAGCCGTTTTGTAGAGACCGTTAATGATACTTAACAAATAGTCTTTCTGCATATGTCTTTATGGATATAAACTTTGATCATTCCTCTATCTTTAGTTACAAAAAGCAGTTCGCTTTTTGACAAGTGATTTTTCAAAAATATTGTAAATGAATAGAAAACAATGTTGCGAATTTTAGAAAACAACCAATAAACATAAATCTGATGAAAAAAAGCCGAGTATATGCATAATATTTTTGAATTTACATTTGACGTCAATGTTTTCTTTGCTTTACAATTGAACAATATCGAAAACATTGACATGTATATAGAATTTATGCAACAGATAATCAATTTTACCAAGAAATTAGGAAGAGCTTATGTAAATTTGCTCTCAAATAATCTTTTTCTTCATAGTTACGATGTTACTTTTCATATTAACAAATGAAATCTTCGAACGAATACGATGAAAAAATTAGAACAATTTCTATAGTTTCAATCTGAGAACACTGCATATAGATGGGTGAAAAATAACGCCGAATTGACATGGTTTCTTCACGTATGATGCAATAACTGAGAAACATTATGTTCTTGGTTTATCTTTTGGTAGTATAACTGAGTGGTCTATGGTGGCAATTGTCAGCATTGTTCTTTCGTGAGTTCGCATCCTAATACTACCAATTACTTATTGACTTTTTTTTGCTAATAACAGTGACAAATATCTGAACGAACATACGAAACGGATCGAAGATATTACTACTATCTGGATTACATATTTCCTCGATTAATACGTCGAATAAAATATACAGAATGGATGGCGAAACAAAACATACTATTGGTAGGAAGTCGCACGTTATGACGATTTTTTATCGGGAATGATGAAGCGATATGTCGTTATTCATTTCTACCTCGTAAACCGCATGCTCCGATACTAAACAGATTTTGAAACAAACACTCGGCAATCGAAGAACAAAAAGGAAAATAGAAAATATATGTGAAAATGTATTGAAGGAAGAACAAATAGAGCGCAAGCGAAGCATATAAACGAAAGCGTCACATCGGTATTGTCAACATGACAGCCAACTTAGATTTACACGACGAAAAGAATCACACGAAAACAGTTGTTCAATACCAAAGCATGCATTCCTTTGAAATTAGCAACGAACCTGATAAGGTGTCAAAAGTCGAGCGTAGAATGTGGCTAGGTAATATCAACTGGTCAACTCATCAGATTGAACTTCACTATGGTATTGATATGTTGGCTTTTACTACCACGATCTGCTACGAGCCTGACGTGGATTTGCACAGGTTACGTGAACATTTTGGTACTAATTACGTCGATAAATTATTCTTTCATATACTGGCATTTGAAGCTAACAAAATTCTCAGCCTTGGTCCTANTTCACAAAAACTCAAAGATCCACACATCAGATTACACAATCCGAGGAAAACATTGAACATCTATAATCAAATCAGCAACCAACTGAGATCTCTGAATAGCAAATAGAATCCGTTTTGCAAGTAGCATCTTTTAACCTTAAAGGCTCTCCGGATCAGTAACCATCAATCAAGTTGAAGAGGTACAGTTCCTTGAAGCAGAATTTCACAGTCTACACTCGAGTTTTACGAAAGCATAACCTTGTGATACAAAGACTGAAGATAATAATGCGCTTGGGAAGAATTTCTAGCGAGAATAAGCTTTTGAAAAAAAAGTACGGTCATAGCTGATTGGCTGAAATTGACCAATCTGAATTCGGGGTAATAAGCCTTGGATTGAAGACTTTCTTCAAGACTGGTTTCCACAATGGCGTTAAACTGAGAGATAGCTGTCAGTAAGGATCATACGTTATGATTATTTAATCGTTAATCACTTAATTAAGTGAAAATTAACGTTAACGCGTTCCGTTTATTAACGGCTGTTAATTAAGCTATATTAAATTAAATGATCCGTCCTTACTTTTGACGATATCATTGTCATTTTCGTCGGGCACGAAAACATCGTAGTGATAGATGCGTTCGAACAACCAAACGAAAAAGCTTATAATCTGCATTTTCTCATACTGAATTGCGAACACAATGTCCTAAAAATAATGGTAAAAAATGTATGAAAAGATCAGAAAAATGTCTTTCACAAATGATTTGCGAGTTGTTTTCAGATGAGAGTTCTTCTCAAAACTTAAAAGTTTCTTCGTATTCATTGAAAGAAGATTCGGTCCCTTATTACAAATGAAATTTTTATTTGAGGAGACAGCTGTGCGTGAGGATGCGGCTGTCAGATAGATGAAGGTAATCGTGGGAATATACAGGTATCGCTTAGCGATTTCTCACTCTCGTCCTACAAATGAAATCGAATGGAACCGGTTCTCACAATGCACAACACAACACAATAAAATGTATTCGATTGTCTTGAGAGAAAATACAGGACGAAAGTCAAATGCTATTCTTCGGTTATACGTATAGTTTCGATATGACTTGGCTTAATTTGATTTTGTCGATGTCTATTCATATGCATATCGTAGAAAACGTATTTGGCTTGATGACGAAAGCGTCTTGAAACACAACTATATGTGTAAAATGAGTTCTAAAGAAAATTAACAAAAAATACATTGCTAATTGATTCGAGAACAAACAATACTTACTCCGTAGCTTAGAAAAGTTAGTGTTAACGTAATCGCATTGGCTAATTTCAATTGAGCAAGAAAAACTGGATTGTTATTCGTATTGAACGATGATATAGTATAGATGATTGAAAACGGCATATAAGTACAAACATAAACGCAAATTTCCACGAGAACCATTGTCGTTAATTGTTTATCCAGCTCACGTCGAACAAGTGGATTGGGTCGTGTTGTTAAACTTCGGGCATTTCGAAAAGCTAACAAACCAAAAATGGCAGCAATCAATGGGAAAAGATTTCCATATGTAAGATAGTATACATATACATTGTATTCATACAAAACTGCATTGGATGATATACAAAGTGCAGCATTGACTGGTGATAATTGATTGAAATAGAGAAAAAATGGAACTGCATGCCCCGCCCAAATCAGTGCAGCGATGATCACGGCCCGGTGGGCAATTCGAGGATTCGACCATTGTTGCCATCGTGGGCGAGAAGATGTTGCAAAATATTGATCAATGATCGCTAAACATAAGCAGGATAGAGCAGAGAAATTACATGCTGCGACAACAAAATTCCTCAATTGACAGTAAAAGAACGAAACGGACAAAAAATTGATCGGAAATGCCATTGATATTGCGAGAAACGGTGAACTCAAAATGAATCGAATCAGATTAAATAATGCCATTGACATTAAATAAAATGCACAAGAATTTTGTCGAAATGTTTTTAAACTAAGAAAAACAATGATGCTGCACAATTCACTGATAAAGCCAACTGCACAGACGGGTATGGAAACATAAAGAGCAAATTTCGATCGAGCAGATAAGAGTGAAGTGACATAGTCAGTATTCATGATGAATATTTCGAAAGTAAAATAGAAATAGATAACGGTGTTTTCGTAGTTCTCCTTAACGCAATATGAAAGAATTATAAGCAACGAATGCTCTAATGATAGATTGAATATAGTCTCGAAGGATACCAATTATAAATACAACTGAAGCCGACAATGTTAAGTATATGAAATAATTGAAAGTCTAATGAACCATTGTGGTGCCAAGTACTATGTATTCTACGAGAGTCAATCCTCCTGCTAATATGTTCACTTTTTACTTGTCGATATCGGGTATAAGTACAGCTCTCTATTTACGACCGTGCAAAAGCCAGTATTCGTCTCTGATACGGAACGGTATACACAACGCAGTACTTATGCTGCAGAATATCGAACAGTACAATAAATTCATAGTTGTGTTATATCCTGACTGTCGTATCCATTAGATGTTTAAGTCTTTTAAGTAGCAGACGAAATAATTACTTTTCTTTCCAGCTGGATGATTACATATCTTATCTTCGAAAAAAAATTCAATTTCCGTATCATGTCGGTTTATTTAAAGAAACTGAAGAGATTAGTCAAAGTGCGTTGTTGATACTTTGAATGAGTACAACTAACCTCGTCCAGACGGGTGATACGCCATAGATATCACAGCGTTTTTTAATTAGCACGATGTAACTTATTTAGAAGCAAGTATTTAGATCTTTTTGAGACGATAGGAAAAGATACAATTGTGGAGCGTTCTAATAGACTAACTGTAAAAAATTTGGAGAAAGAAGTGTAGATGCAAAAGGAGCGTCTTGTTTAATACGTCATCATGCACGATGACTGCTGGCTGTTGAGGATTTTATCCATTGTATTTACCATTGATAGTCAAACGCTTCACCATTGCAGCGAACGGGTTCGTTCCATTTGACGGTTCGCTCTCACTTTTAGTTTTCACCGATTTGGCATAGTTTATTTGTCCATTACGTTCAATACTCATGTGACGAGGGAACATATTTAGGTGTTCAAGCAGTTTAGATCCCATCTTTTGGTAGTAAGTAGATCCCAATGAGGTATGAAAAACCTCAAAAGGATTTGTGCCCTCGTGCCGTTGTTGCCGAGTTNCTCCTCTCTCCAACGAATGTTACATTTCCATTAAATCCATCGGGAGAAGTTGTGCCATATAATTATACAGTCAACTATTCACCCGTGAAAGGCGTAGATATTCTTGATGAATTTGTTAAAAGTTGTTATAAACAGAAAATACGGACTGGCTTTTACTATTCAACAGTAGTAAACAACTATCTCAATGTTCGACAGGGCTATGCAAGTGTTACTTATTTCCAAGAAATTGTCAGCCTCTTTTTTATTGTTTACTAGGTTCAAAATGATACGTTGAAAGAAGGTCAATTAAATATTACGCAACAAGTGTATACTAATATCGTCTTATCTCATTTGAGAGAATTATGGACAAATTATGGAAATCTTGAAGAGATTTGGTTCGACGGAGGGTTAATTAATCAAAGAGATAAGTTTCCTTTTAGTCTTTATTAACATTTAGTTTTGCCCCAGGAACACTCGATGTCATTGCAAAAATGCTTGCCGAACTTCAACCACATGCTAATGTTTTTGGCGGAAGTGACGTGACGGCAAATTCTATTCGATGGATTGGAAACGAACTGGGCCATGCACCGGATCCAACTTGGTCAACTGGAACTAGTGCCGATGGAGGTGATCCAAATAGTCCAATTTTTTGTCCAGCTGAATGTGATACAACTTTACAAGTATTCGATCGATGGTTTTGGGTAGGACAGCCAATTGATACGGAAATAATCAGAATTGTTTGCTATTTTTAGGGTCCACATACTCTACTTCGTCCTCTCCGAGATTTGATTGATGTTTATCATCGAACCGTGGGTCGAAATTGTTTACTGATGCTCGATTTAACACCCGATCGATCGGGTATTATTCCTTCGGAATATGCTAATCGTTACAAAGAACTTGGCGACTTTATTCGTTCCTGTTATGGAAGTTCTGTCCGGCCCAGTATTCAGAATTCTTCGGTTGATTTTTTGACGTACATGCTGGTGTTCAATGCGCCTGTCAGTGTTGATCGTTCAGTTATTCAAGAAGATCAAACTCGTGGACAAGTGATCCGTGCCTATACTATCACGGCGTTAATAGCCATCACAAAAGATCAAAGTGAATGGACGGAAGTAGCGACAGGTACCAGTATTGGAAACAAGAAAATTGATTTGTGGAAAAAAGGAACATTACTGATACGAGCCGTGAAATTAAATATTACTAAAACTGTCGATGTGCCTGGACTAAAATCGTTCACAGTTCATTTATGTGCTTGAAATCAATTTTATTTTTTTATCTTAAAGTTCATCATCACATCTTGAAGAGAAAACTGTTCGAATCCTAAGATATCTTCGCTGGAAATTCTCTCTAGGAGAGAACTGAAATCTTGATTGCAGTCAGTTTTTTTCCTATTGGGTAACGTTCTGTTGTTATATGACACGAAGAATCAGTGAAATCATCAATTTCAGCTATAAGAAAAACTGGCGATGTTTTAGTAGCTTGTATTCATGTCGTCATTTCAATTATAACTTCAGTGCTAAAAGAGCCAGACGTAAGACAATCTATGCGTACTGTTTATCTTTCACCACCAATGCGTTGATGCACACCGATAAGTATTGTTACTCCAACTTTGTTCCGGTTTCGTTCATGAATGAATCTCGTTAATTTTCTTACGAGTTTGGGTAATGTGCTGAGACACACCATTGGTAAAAATAGTGGAACTAGGTAGACATTAAATAGGATTATGTCAAGATAGTCAACCATGAATGTAGGCATAACAGTGATTTGAACAAACTTCGTGATCATCAGTGGTAGCCAGCATATCAAGTATATAGAGGAAATTATCCAGAGCTGAAGGATCATTTTACGATGGTTTCGCCAATTAATTCTTCGATGCCGGGATATTTTCTCATAGTTCACTCGAATGAAAAGTAGTATATTAACAAGGGATATAACCGACACAGGAAATGCAACGTTAAAAAGAAAATTAAATTGACCGACAGATTTTTTGATGTAATAACATGGTACACCACAAATAATCAGATCAAAGCTCCATGTCTGACTACAATACGGACTAATAATAACTACTAAACAATAGAAGAATGGTGTCCAACAGAGACAGATGGCAATTGGTATAAAATGATACATCCATTTTTTAAAACGCCCTTGAAATATTGTATGGGAATAAAAAATAAATATGTACCGTTCGATTGAGATCCATGCCATAAGAAAGATACCTATCGTGTTCAAGGAAAACTCAGACCAAGTCCACCATACGCAATATAAATCTGATGCAGGAATAACTCGACCCGCATAATAGTAACTCATAGGCATGGGTAAATCGATAACAACTTGGATAAAACTAATAGTGACTAAAACAAGCCAACCATGGTTTTGAAACTTTGATCGAGCCGTACGATTTACAGCAAAGTATGCGAAGATAATAATAGAAAAAAAGATTGCTGGAATCTCCAAAGCAATTAATATACTGAATTTACTTGCGGACTGCATGTTATATACGACGACAAAATAATATAAAACTAAAATTCTTTTTCATTTCGTTTTCTCTAGATCTCTATCGCGTATTGAATCGGTTCAAAAATCGCAACATCCCACTAAATTGGATTCAAATCAAATACTCCTAAACTAAAACAAAATGAGTGAACTCTCTCAGAAGAACATTTTTATTAAATAAGGCGTAAATCGAGAAATACATCAGCGGCAATGCTGACTGAAGACCTCTTTTTCTTGTGCTTGGTGGCGGCTAGAAATTTAATGCTCGGGTAGTTAGAACCTATAAAAGTTCAGCTCACTTGCCTCTTTATATGGATATTAATATTTTCAAAAGCCAGAATTACATATATAGAGAAATTAACGCAGAATCAAGTAAGTATTAATAATATACCGATAGTCGCATGCTTATCAAAGCACAAAAATTAATGATAAAACAAGAAGTCGTCGACTTTTTAGTTTAAAAAAATCATAGTCATAATATGAACTTTCAAAATCAATTGTCTCATCTGTTTTTTTTGTACAAATGATCAGAGTTATTAACATTATATATTTCAAATGACGAACAAATGCACTAGCCACGAATTTTTGAATAATATATAGAAACATGCACTTTTACTGTGATTCTATGAAAATCTAAACATTATTTAGATCGAGTTTGAACTTTTTTCCGTCAAAATATTGGCGTACCTCTACAGTATTGCTTTCGCCCGCATTCTCGTTTGAACACACTTAACGAAAGCGATTTCTGAAAAAATGCAACTGTTTTGTGGGTGTTGGCTTGAACGTGTGATGTCGATTGCGTGACCCTTGCTTCGTGTAGAGCGTAGAGTCAGGATGTAAAACATCGAATCTCGCAATACTCGGACCAAATTTATATACTTCATATGTATTTTTAACCCATCCCGTGACTTGATTCACAGCAGCTTCATTCAACTTTGTAAGCAAATGTTCACGTATTTTTGCAATAATCATTGATGGTTCATTGACTTCGTCTAATAGCTGCTCGTGCGCCAATGCTTCTAGTTGCTTTCTCTCGAATTCAGAAGAAGACCGTGACTGCAAAGAGAAAAACCACCAGTTATTATCGGTATGTACGTCCTCTCTCTCTGCTTGAAGTGTCTGTATCTCGTGGATTAATTGGCGATGTTCCTGTTCAAGTTTTAACTTCAAATGAGATAATCCGTCCATGATAAGGTATTGTGTCTCTTCTTTTGAAACTTCATTTGCAAACAGATTCCAAAGCATTGTTTGTTCGATAATATGGCGAGCAATCTGTCGGTTTTTCCTGCTCTCTCGTATAGTAGAAAGGTCGCGATAGGAAACTGAGGTTAGTGATNAAAAATAAGATGATTTTGGGGCAATATGACTGTCAATCAGTGATTTGAAGTTCTTCTCTTCTGCTTGCTTCCATTCGCTAAATGTATTATTGAGGTCTCTTCGATTCATTCGCACATATTTATCTTGACTACTTTGAAGTCGATTCAGACGCCTAATCAAGCACGGCTTGAACAAACGAAAATAACGTTTAGCCACCTTAAACACATGACGACGCACATTTTGATGGAACAATCTAAAAGCACTTGTGATGAACATAAGGTACCAATAGATTCGCTCATGCACTTTGTCATCAGTCGAGTCATACGCTTCTCTAACGAGTGCGATGGCAAATCGAACAGCCATGTCGCACATTTGCGATGGCCGATGAACTTCGACGTACGAATTGTTCAAGGGACTGTAGGTGACGATGTCGAAAAAAGACACATCAACTTCATCCAAAGATGGATCTCGGTGGATGAGAAGACCAAAGTAATCCATATGAAGAATGGTTAATATCGGATCGTAGTCTTCAGGTAGATGAATGAAAATATCTCGAATGTGGCGGTATGGAAACCAGTCTAAGATGAAGCGAAACGACTCGAGATCGATTTTGGGATGAATAATGAAATAACCTTGACCATCGCGTGCATATTCAAAGAAATCGGCAGAAGACACAAATGCAGCTAGATACGGTATTTTGTTGATTTGATCTTCAGTCAGTGTCAACACATGGCCACTCCCAAAACGAAATGAGTTGTGTGTTTTTCGTAACAGTTGACTACGGACGTTCATTTCGATCGTCGATCAGAATCTAAGATATCCATACCGGTTACACTACCGAATATATATGCACTTTACTTCCAACGAGCAAGTTGGAATTTTCTATTTACTGCTTTCTATTAAATGAATCATCTCTGGTTTTTTCCACCTTCATCGATCATTTCGGTTTCAATTGTGTAACTTATCTCACGTCAACATCGGAAACGGTTGTCTGAGTATTGTCAAAGATATTCATCGCTATAGACCGGAGGGCAGTGTTTAATTCAATTAAAAAAAAACACAAAAGCGCTCCCTTTGTTATGTTGTGATGTGTCTGGGTATCCGTCACACCAATCAGCGGTAAATACACAAAAGGTAAACAAGATCTCTAGATGGAGCAGGTATCGTGAGGGTGAATAGAGTATTATGTAGGAGATACATGTTGATTAGAATTGATAGAATTCGTCAAGTTCTACTCGGAATCAATGTGGTCAGAGTGGAACGCATACTGATGCCAATTGGACACAACGATATCGTATATCTCATACCTAGAGAGATTCATTATGCACTACTACGATTGGGCTCAGCTAAACTATCTGAATTTTCTACCAGCGATTGAGGTACCACCTATTCATAAAGATATGCCAATGAAGAGTCTGTTTTAATAAGACTGTGTTCTTTCTATATATAAAAAACAAAAGCCGTTTTGTAGAGACCGTTAATGATACTTAACAAATAGCCCTTCTGTGTATGTCTTTATGGATATAAACTTTAAGCATTCCTCTATCTTTAGTTACAAAAAGCAGCTCGCTTTTTGATAAGTGATTTTTCAAAAATATTGTAAATGAATAGAAAACAATGTTGCGAGTTTTAGAAAAGAACCATTAAACATCAATCTGATGAAAAAAAAACCGAGTATATGCATAATATTTTTCGATTTACATTTGACGCCAATGTTTTCTTTGCTTTACAATTGAACAATATTGAAAACATTGATATGCACATAGAATTTATGCATCAGATAATCAATTTTACCAAGAAAGTAGGAAGAGTTTATGTAAATTTGCTCTTAAATAATCTTTTTCGTTATAAGTACATGCAATGTTGCTTCTCATATTAACAGATAAAATCTTCGAATGAATCTGATGAGAAAATTAGAACAATTTCTAGTTTCAATCTAAGAACACTGCATACAGATGGGTGAAAAATAACGCCGAATTGACACGGTTTTTTCACGTATGATGCAATAACTGAGAAACATTGTGTTCTCGGTTCATCTTTTGGCAGTATGACTGAGTAGTCTATGGCGGCAATTTCCAGCACTGTTCTTTCGTGAGTTCGCATCCTACTACTACCAATTACTTATTGATTTTTTGCTAATAACAGCGACAAATATTTGAACGAACATATGAAACGGATCGAAGATATTACTACTATCTAGATTACATATTTCCTCAATTGATACATTGAATAAAGTATAATGAATGGATGACGAAACACAAAATATTATTGGTAGAAAGTCGCACGTTATGACGATTTTTGATCGGAAATGATGAAGCGCTATGTCGTTATTTATTTCTACCTCGTAAATCACATGCTTTAATACAAAACAGGCTTCGAAACAATCACTCGGCAATCGAAGAACAAGAAAGAAAATAGAAAATGTAAGTGAAGATGTATTGAAGGAAGAACAAATAGAGCGCAAGTGAAGCATGTAAACGAAAGCGTCACATCGATATTGTCAACATGAAAGCTAACTTAAATTTACACGACGAAGAGAATCACACAAAAACAGTTGTTCAATGCAAAAGTATGCATTCCTTTGAAATTAGCAACGAACCTGATAAGGTGATAAAAGTCGAGCGTAGAATGTGGCTAGGTAATATCAACTGGTCAACTCATCAGATTGAACTTCACTATGGTATTGATATGTTGGCTTTTACTACCACGATCTGCTACGAGCCTGACGTGGATNCCAACTTAGATTTACACGACGAAAAGAATCACACGAAAACAGTTGTTCAATACCAAAGCATGCATTCCTTTGAAATTAGCAACGAACCTGATAAGGTGTCAAAAGTCGAGCGTAGAATGTGGCTAGGTAATATCAACTGGTCAACTCATCAGATTGAACTTCACTATGGTATTGATATGTTGGCTTTTACTACCACGATCTGCTACGAGCCTGACGTGGATTTGCACAGGTTACGTGAACATTTTGGTACTAATTACGTCGATAAATTATTCTTTCATATACTGGCATTTGAAGCTAACAAAATTCTCAGCCTTGGTCCTAAAACACTCGATCCAGGCCCTCATGGTCGTTGGTTCACGCCTGCTTTTACAAAACTCTGGCAAACAATTGGTCACAAAGTTTGGGCTCAGTGGCGTTATCAGCACAATTTACCTGATTATAAAGGCCCTCTCTTTGATACATTGAACGAACCTACTAGTTTAACTCCAGCAGTAAAGATCGAACCTGGTGATGTTGAAGTTTTGGCATTTTGTGGTGGAGGCAAGGATTCTTTAATTGCTATGACGCTTTTGCGATCGGCAAAGATTCCATTTTCAACTTTGGTCTATTCTCATAGTATATATGGTGCACTCGAAGCTCAACACTGTTTGATTGATAGACTGATCGACACATGCACACCAATAACACGCCACAAGCAATGGATTAAAGATACTTTTCTTGACACTCCTGTTTCTAACTTTTATACGGACTATGAAATTGAGCACGTTCTAGCTGCTGAGACTCCAGCATCGGTTTTTGGTTCACTACCATTGATACTCAGCCGTGGATTTAGATATATTATTGTAGCACACGAGCGTAGTGCTGATATAGGAAATCTCATATGGGATATCACTGGTGAAGACGTCAATCACCAATGGGGCAAATCGCTTGAAGCTGAAAAGATGATCAACGATTACATTCACAATGAGCTCATTTTAGGTTTCACCTATTTCAGCATATTGAAACCGCTATACGATGTATTAATATTTAGTATTTTGAAAAATAGTATTGGTTCGATTCCTTTCACTCATTCATGTAATGTTAAGAAACCGTGGTGTAAACGCTGTGCAAAATGCGCTTANGACGTCAATCACCAATGGGGCAAATCGCTTGAAGCTGAAAAGATGATCAACGATTACATTCACAATGAACTCATTTTAGGTTTCACCTATTTCAGCATATTGAAACCGCTATACGATGTATTAATATTTAGTATTTTGAAAAATAGTATTGGTTCGATTCCTTTCACTCATTCATGTAATGTTAAGAAACCGTGGTGTAAACGCTGTGCAAAATGCGCTTATATCTGGCTGAATTATATGGCTTATCTACCGTTTGACCTTGTCGATGGAATCTTTGAGAAAGAAAATCTTCTTAATTTACCGGAAAATCAACTCTACTACCGTCAAATGCTAGGTCTTGAAAAACATACACCATTCGAATGTATCGGCCAAGTGCTCGAAGTACAATTGGCTTTTGAACTTGCTCATCGCAAAGGATTACAAGGTGTAGCTATGGACATCTATTTAAGCGAGGTGTCGTCCGATCAAAACTGGTTGGATATTATTACTAAGTATACTCGTGTAGCGAGTGAAGATACGACAAATATGCCTCATAGCATTAAGATGCGAATATTACCACTAATGGATCGTGACAGTATTGCTGCCCGTAAACAGTTGGCCACCATTTTAGACTTACCGAATATTTGAATTTCGTCGTTCACGAATGCTCAAAAGACGTGATTCTCATAATGACTTGTATCATTGTGAGAATCATTCTCTTATACGAAATAGAGTAGGATATAAAGAAACTATCGTTACCTTTCCGCAGATCTTCTTTTATCTGCCGGTATCAATAAAAATCGATATTTTTCATTTTTCGTGTAGAACTGATTCACCTCATTGATAGTCTATGGTTCTCTTTTCTCTAAACACCGTCCAAATTGTTTCTTTCAAAGAACTAGATGAAAAAATTTATTTATTTATTCTTTGATAATATCAATAAAAAGAAAGAATACATCAAATGTTATATAATCGTTTGTGGATCCCTCCCAAACGACGTTTTATGAAGTTTTTATAGCATCGATATATCTTGATCTTTGATCTGTGGGAGAGATACAAACAAACGACTTTCAATTTTTTCACCTCTTTTTTTCGGCTTGACCCTTCCTTCAGAATAGGGAATAAGAGGCAAACGAGACTGCAGGTAGAGTGAGTATCGGTACGAATGAAATTCATTTTCAGTCCATTTCTGTCACTGTCGAAAGAATAAATCATCATCAATGGAACCAGTCAAATATTACTCATTGTACATTCACTTACGACATAGACTTTTTCTTGCATCAACGTCAATCATATTGTCTATTCATTTGATCGATTAAATCAGTGGTTCAATAATCTCACACGAAGTATTCCGCCCTTTAGTTTAAACTTTCAAATCATTTGAAATAAGTCTCAATGTGAACAATTTTGTTGGACATTACAAAAGAAACTCTATTCATTGCGTTTCTCCAATGAGGATACCTGTTATCCGATTCATTTGTTTCCGAAAGATTGATTGTTATGGATTGTCAGACGATATTGTATCTCTTTTATCAATGTCACAGTTACAGATGATAAGTATACCTCTACAATCATTTCTAAGACCGATTTACAGAGTTCAATTCTCATCGATGACGCATCTATCAATTGATCATTGTAATTTATTTATTTACTCTGTTAAACAATGCACCAAAACTCGATTATTTCCAAGCAGAATTTGTCGGTGATGACACTAGAAATGTGATAATGAACGACAACAGAAATGTAGCGAATAACTTAAAACCATTACATATTAGTTATTTTGAAAGTAGTGTGTTTATTACTTTTCTGTGCTATTGAAGAGAACACCAAATTTGGAAAATTTAACAATATTGGAATCTACTGATCCTAATATTGTCAATGCTTATGAATAGCAGACTTTGATCATTTCTTCTTTACTTCGTTTGAAGAAGTTCAAGTTCCATTTTTACGTTGATAGTTATTAAGTTAATCACATTAATGAGCAAGATTTAAAGCAGTTTGAGAGCATTGCTTTAACGTATTGAATATCATTGGTACATAGAATATGTCATACAATCATTGTCAATATCAATTTACACCATTTCCTAGCCACCATGNCCTCTAAAATTTTGCGTATATTTGTTTTTTGATATTTAGAAATCCGTGAATGTTATGAAGTAAGCGAATTCATGGGCAATTTCAGTTATTTCATTGCTGCCTTTTATTCAGCATTTCGTAAATTCAGATGATGGCGATGGCAAATTGACAAAGGACGAATTTCATAATTTTGCTAAAAAAGTATTCAAAAATAAAAACGTCGATCGAGTTAAAACTGAGTATGTTCTCTGATATAATTATCTCTGTCGATATACTCTTATCGATTGTTTTAGCGAAATATTTGGCACATTCGATACAAACAATGATGGGATGGTAACTTTCCGTGAGTTTATTTGGGTAGCCATTGCAATCAGCAATGACGACTTGAATGTTATGTTGAACCATGCATTTTACATGTAAGAGTTTTTTTCGAAGTTATGGATAAGAATCGACAATTTGATGTGTAGGTTGGATACATCAGGTGATGGATTTCTTACGTTGGATGAATTTAAGGATTTTATAAGAAAAATAGTAAATGATTTTTTATGCCTATGAAGCAAGAGATTATTCTGTCTTTTTTAAAGCTCTCTATCCGAATGGGTCCAGAAATGGTAAGACAAGTCGATATAAATGGATTTAGTATAGAGACTTTTCAAAAATGTGGTCTTGACCCAACACAAAAAATAAGCAAAGAACAATTTATAGAAGGGTAAATGAATCAAATACCAATGATTTTCTTTGTTTTAAAATGAAATTTTGCTTTAGATGTAAAAAGAACAAAGAACTTATCAAGTGGTTTACTGGTGAAGAATAAACTTTCATCTTTATAATTTTAGTTCTAAAGAGTTTTATTGTGTTTTAATAAATTTACATTAAAGTGTTTCACGTTTATGACATACAAAAAGAATAACATCAACAAACAAGATTTCGTATAGCTTTCACGTAATATTTGCCCTATGGGCTGGAGTAAATAGCGGCTCGAGCAAAGCCCATCGGGTATATATCACTTTAGAGTAAAGTTTTTACGTAACAAAAAGCGAAGATCAGCCATTGTGGACAACAAGCTAAGTATGAATACGATTCATCGCCATATTTCAGTACCTTGTCTAAATTATGGATATAAATACTAACCATTACTGTTTCAATTAAAGTACAAAATGAAATTTTCACCGTGAATTTCTAGAAGGCATGCTCTATCCGATGAGATTTCAGATATAGTATTTTTCAACTAATGAGTACTCGATAGAATTACACACTCACAAGCACTTAAAAGGATTCGTCATCAGTAATTCTTTTGTAATCGAAAATGTAAGATGAATTTGATTCCACGTTCAATACTCTGTCGTTTGATATATTAGACAAAATCATCAATTGGTTTCTTATACAAAGAATAATCAAAATACGTTAACGTGCAAAGACTTTCCAGTGCAAAGAACGAAAAACATTATGTCCTGTGCTGAGCATCCAATCCATAACGATTGAATTTCGATCATTATCGCATGCTTAAATAAAATCGGTAGTACTCGATTAATCGACGAAATTTTCTATCAATGACGCTATTTGAGGAAGTATATGCATGTAATCACCTTTTTGATTTTTGTTTTGTCGAAAACATTTTGTATTTGCTTATGTGTTCGAGTAGAATGATTGTTCGTTTTTCCCCTATAGATATCGTTGTTTTTTTTTCTCTTGAAGGTTTATTTCGTTATCAAATCAACGAAGCTATGAATAACGAAGACAGTAAACGAGAATTGACTGATCAAGGTTTGTTTGATTTTCTCTAATCTTTCGGTGACAAGCATTTGAATTCTATTAGAACTTGATGCACTTAAAGCCAGTTCATATATGACCGAAGAAGGTACAAGGACAATTGCAAATACTTTTCTCCTCTAAAATTTTGCGTATATTTGTTTTTTGATATTTAGAAATCCGTGAATGTTATGAAGTAAGCGAATTCATGGGCAATTTCAGTTATTTCATTGCTGCCTTTTATTCAGCATTTCGTAAATTCAGATGATGGCGATGGCAAATTGACAAAGGACGAATTTCATAATTTTGCTAAAAAAGTATTCAAAAATAAAAACGTCGATCGAGTTAAAACTGAGTATGTTCTCTGATATAATTATCTCTGTCGATATACTCTTATCGATTGTTTTAGCGAAATATTTGGCACATTCGATACAAACAATGATGGGATGGTAACTTTCNTTTGTCTCGTTCCCCCCCCCTTGTCTCCTTCCTTTTACTCTCACTATAGTATCCTATTTCATGGTGTTGCACGTTTGAAAATCAGCTCTGTCCAAGATCTTCAAGTTTATTGAACAAAGTAAATTCATATTTACAAAAGACAAAGATTCGTCATTGTGAAAAGGGGTAAACGACGTTTGATCGACTAGCAATGGTTTTTTTATATTCTGTCCGATAGAAGTCTGAAGGTAAAACAAAAATCAGGAAAGTAATCATTGGTGGGATGAACGAGACAAAATATCCACTAAGAAATATCCAGGAATCTTTACTTGAATCCATACACTTAGATACATACAAGAGAATCAGACGTGGTAATGCAAGAAAAAATAAGATAGTAGGCGCGGTTAATAGATGTTTATGACGAAAGATTTGTTCGCATAGCATAGTTGTATAGGGTTGGTGTTTCTTAAGATTCGACTTTTGACGAGATTTTTTCATGATTAAAATAATTGTCGAAATCAAATTAATGAGAAGTGGAATAAAAAACAAGAATGAATTTACAAATCGGTTATAAGTTTGTAAATTTGAAGAATAATTGACAATACACCAGATTCTTTTCTTATTTTCATCATCATTGTCTTCTTCTTCGAATAATTCCCGATGAATTGGATCGTGAATCGATGTTAAAATAATGAACACTAAAACAACACCGATAACTTTTTTTGCTAATTCTTTACTTTTCTTCTTCACGAATTGCACACCTTGAATCGCAGTCATTGCTCTTTCCATTGCCACACATGCATTCAACCATTGATCCATATTCAAACAAATTCGAAGAAGAAAATCTAATGAATAACATTCCACTCGTAAGAATGACCGATTTATCGGCGGAGAGATTTGTGACGAAAGATAAATGAAATACTTCAATCCAAAAAAAAGCGTTGTTAACATTGTTGTTATCGATGAACCTAATAAATAAATGCCACATCCGACTTCAAGTACAATTTTATTCTTAAATGTCATCAATGAAAGAACACCGTTAACGAATCCGATGATCATAAATAGAATCGTTAACGAGAAACTTAGTTTAACAATCGCCGTTTGATGAAAAATATTTGCATTTGGAATAATATGATAGGCGAGAATAGCATCGAGGGATAAACCGAATTCACTTGTGCTAAATTGACATCGATTTCCATAATAACATGAGCGACAAACACAAATCGATCGCTTGGGACAATCGGGTGAATCTTGAAAACATTGACCACCGTTTTCACAATCATTTTGACTGTAACAATCGAATTTCATATGATGATCGAATTGAAAACAATTCGCTAAACGTCTCTGTACATAATCATAACATAAACAAAGATGAAGATCATCAGAAAAGCATTGTAAATTCGGTGAATGTTGTTGACAAATCAAATGATACAATTTCATTCGACGAAGAACATGAAGTTGAGCAAATGTTTTATTCACTAATTCACCGATTGATGGACAACGATGTGATGAATTAATTCTTCGAATTATTGTTATTGAATGATTATAAATCGGTTGAAGAACAGTTAAATAATAAGTTTTATCCAATGTTTCGATGAAAATGAGGTGAAATGGTTTTGACCAATAGATTTGAATCGAATTAGTTATTTGTGATACCGCTTGTAAAGCTGTGGATCTTACAGGTGAGAGTTTCGGAACTTTGATAGAATCCGTATATAAAAGAATATTGAAGAAATGAATGAAAATCGAATGAGATAAACGAATATTTTTCTCAAAGATGAAATTCAGTTGTGTATCAATCACTTCGCATCGACTTCCACTGAAGCCTTTTGAACATGCACAAAAATATTTTTGTTCCGTTGATGATACCATGAAATCATCGTATGAAATACATAAACCATTGTTTACACACGGTGAAGTATCACAAATTGGATTTCGAAGATAACATTGATGACCGAAATAATTTTCTCGACAGATACATATCGATCGATTATGACTTGATACACCAATACATAAGGAATTCGATGTCGAACAAGTACAATGAGATGGAATATGACAATATTGACCAGACCAGCCTTGTTCACATTGACAAAAAGTTTCTTTGATATTCAGATAGATCAAACATTTTCCATGTACACATTTCTTTGAACAACTGACATGTTGTTGTTGATCATCATAGTCATCTGAAGGAATTCGAATACTAAAGGCTAAACGGTGAACGGGCAAAAATGAGAATTTGACTGGAGAGAGAAAACTTCCTCGATAAGCTAGAGAAAGTTTCTGATAAATATCAATATGGACTGAATATGTTCGGTTTGATTGTTTGGGCCGAGTTGAATAGAGCAAATACAGATTAAATTTAATTTTACAATCCCGAATGGATAAATAGGTAAATTGTTCATAGGAATGAACCATTCGTTCGTTTGTATCATCAATAAGCATAACCAAGATCGCAAATTGAATTTGTCTTGATTGTGTTAAAGCATGAAATCGAATGGCTAAACTGACACGTTGATTTTGATATTGACATTCGTCTCCATAGTAACTGGGCGGACAAAAACATGTACTTGTAAAGTGATTAGATGATTTGTTTAGCCAAACACGTACATCAAGACCACGGTGACAACGACGATCATTTGGTAAAGTAATTCGTGTGTGACTTTTTGTATTGATTCTTTTAAACACTTCGTTTTCAGTTGACTGATGAAATCCTTCAGTTGTAAATTGTTTAAATTTTGTTTTTTCACGAAATTTTGACGAGCTACACAAGAATTTTTCGATATTTGAAGCGAGCTCTGAGTAGTGATAGTTACAAATGTACATAAACGAGTGAATTTCATAATTTCCAACACAAAATTGTTCGTCATCTCCATCTTGACAATCTCTATGATTATTACATAAATGGAAAACATTCAAACATATTGAATTGTCATTATTCATACAATAAAAACCACCCTCACCATTCACGGATGAGCAAATACTTGATTCATCCGTCCCGCCGAGACAATCGACTATGCCATCGTTCATTTTACTATTGGATAAGCAAGAAAACTTCGAGGTATTTTTAGTGACGCAGATTAGTTCATTCGACGAACAATTAAATAACGATGATGAATCACAGCCGATTTCATCTTCTCCATGTAAACAATTTATTATTCCATCGCATCGGGTATAGATGTTATTACACTCCCATTGTTCACATTCTGTTTCATCTGTCATATTTTTGCCATCGATCATTATTGGATGAAGTTCTTGAAAACGATCACACATCATTTGAAAGAATATGTTTCTTCGCGTAAAGTTTAAGAATTCTTCTTCATCTTCACAAAAACCGTGTTCGCTAAATCCGCAATCACATTCTTCGTTATGAATTGCTGCTTGAGGAATTGATTTTTTAGTAGAATAACAATCGTAATATTTATGTTTAATTTTTTCGAATAATTGAGGATTCGTATAGTGAAATATATTTTCATCGTCTTTGTAAGGACAATTATGTACACTATCAATTAAACGATGAAATGAAATGCATTTTGGTGAATTCTGACATTGATACACATGCGAATCATTACACCGATTCAAGGGAAAATTAATGATGGGTTCGGTTTGTGTTAATTGTCTGTATATGCCACCTATGGGTATCATATAACGAAATAAAAAGACAGACATATAATTCGACGATTTGTCTTCGAATTGAGTAATTTTAAAACATGTCATATTATTGATTAATCCATCCAAAACTAAACTAAGTGATCCAAAATGAAAGGATCTGTCTGAACATAGATAGGGTAAAATATAATATGTCCGAAAAATGTTGGAACACTTGGGACAAAGAGTGTATTCGGACAGGTCTTGATTATTTGAGGCATACATTCACTATCGATATCATTCAATTCATTAGGATTTTCTGGATTTGGAAAGCCAAGGTAACATTTAAAAGCCGACCAACATTCGTCTGAGACGGATGGATCTTTGACTGAAAACATGGATTCAGCGACGAGATAATCACGAAAGATCATACAAGATTTGGACAAGAAGGTTTTATCACATCTGATATCATCGTATCCAAAAGCCGGTTCAAAATGATAGTCTACAGGAAAGTCATCGTGATCCAATGCTTTCTCGTCTGATCTGTCAACACAATCATACACTTTTTGATCATCTCCAACAAATTCATAAGGTATACACTGTCCAATGTCACACATATATTCATTCGGTTGACATTCATTAAATTCAAGCTGCCAACAATGTTGTTCATCAGCGTTTCCATCCAGACAATCAATTTTTCCATCACAAATTTCAGTCCAATCTAAGCATGCAGGTGAATAACCACGATTGCATTTGATATGTGTATAACAAGTCAAATTCATTATGAGATCACCACGTTCATCGTAATAATCATAAATCAGTTCACTTAGGGAGGAATGATCCTCGCGGTAGTTATATAATTCATATTGACACATTGGTCCGAATCTTGGTAGTGTACAATTATGAAATATCCATGTCTNCTGCTGACAAATCAAATGATACAATTTCATTCGACGAAGAACGTGAAGTCGAGCAAATGTTTCATTCACTAATTCCCCGATTGATGGACAACGATGCGATGAATTAATTCTTCGAATTATTGTCATTGAATGATTATAGATCGGTTGAAGAACAGTTAAATAATAAGTCTTATCCAATGTTTCGATGAAAGTGAGATGAAATGGTTTTGACCAATAGATTCGAACTGAATTAGTTATTTGTGATACCGTTTGTAAAGCTGTGGATCTCACAGGTGAGAGTTCCGGAACTTTGGTAGAATCCATATATAGAAGAATGTTGAAGAAATGAATAAAAATCGAATGAGATAAACGAATATTTTTCTCAAAGATAAAATTTAGTTGTGTACCAATCACTTCACACCGATTTCCACCGAAACCTTTTGGACAGACACAAAAATATTTTTGTTTCGTTGACGATACCATGAAATCATCGTACGGAATACATAATCCATTGTTTACACACGGTGAAGTATCACAAATTGGATTTCGAAGATAACATTGACGACCGAAATAATTTTCTCGACAGATACATATTGATCGATTATGACTTGATACACCAATACATAATGAATTCGATGTCGAACAAGTACAATGAGATGGAATGTGACAATATTGACCCGACCAGCCTTGTTCACATTGACAAAATGTTTCTTTAATATTCAGATAGATCAAACACTTTCCATGAAGACATTTCTTTGAACAACTGACATATTGCTGTTGTTGATCATCATAGTTATCTGAAGGAATTCGAATACTAAAGGCTAAACGATGAACAGGTAAAAATGAGAATTTGACTGGAAAGAGAAAACTTCCTCGATACGCTAAAGAAAGTTTTTGATAAATATCAATTTGGACTGAATATGTTCGATTTGATTGTTTGGGCCGAGTTGAATAGAGTAAATACAGATTAAATTTAATTTTACAATCCCGAATGGATAAATAGGTAAATTGTTCATAGGAATGAACCATGCGTTCATTTGTATCATCGATAAGCATAACCAACATGGCAAATTGAATTTGTCTTGACTGTGTTAAAGCATGAAATCGAATGGCTAAACTGACACGTTGATTTTGATATTGACATTGGTCACCATAGTAACTTGGGGGACACAGACATGTACTCGTATAGTGATTAGATGATCTATTTAGCCAAACACGTATATCAAGACCACGGTGACAACGACGATCATTTGGTAAAGTGATTCGTGTGTGACTTTTTGTATTGATTCTTTTATAAACTTCGTTTTCAGTTGATTGATGAAATCCTTCAATTGTAAATTGTTTAAATGTTGTTTTTCTACGAAATTTTGACGTACTACACAAGAATTTTTCGATCTTTGAAGTGAATTTTGAATAGTCGTAGTCACAAATGTATATAAACGAGTAACTTCCATAATTTCCAACACAAAATTGTTCATCATCTCCATCTTGACAATCTCTATGATTATTACATAAGCGGATAACATTCAAACATATTGAACTGTCATTATTCATACAATAAAAACCACCCTCACTACTCACGGATGAGCAAATACTCGATTCATCAGTCCCGCCAAGACAATCGACTATGCCATCGTTCATTTTACTATTGGATAAACAAGAAAACTTCGAGGTATCTTTATTGACGCAGATTTGTTCATTCGACGAACAATTAAATAATGATGATAAATCACAACCGATTTCATCTTCTCCATGTAAACAATTCATTATTCCATCGCATCGGGTATAGATGTTATTACACTCCCATTGTTCACATTCTGTTTCATCTGTCATATTTTTGCCATCGATCATTATTGGATGAATTTCTTGAAAACGATCACACATCATTTGAAAGAATATGCTTCTTCGCGTAAAGTTTAAGAATTCTTCTTCATCTTCACAAAAGCCGTGTTCGCTAAATCCACAATCACATTCTTCGTTGTGAATTGCTGCTTGAGGAATTGATTTTTTAGTAGAATAACAATCGTAATATTTATGTTTAATTTTTTCGAATAATTGAGGATTCGTATGGTGAAATATATTTTCATCGTCTTTATAAGGACAATCATGTACACTATCAATTAAACGACGAAACGAAATGCATTTCGATGAATTTTGACATTGATATACATGCGAATCATTACACCGATTCAAGGGAAAATTAATGATGGGTTCGATTTGTGTTAGTTGTCTGTATATGTCACCTATGGGTATCAAATAACGAAATAAAAAGACAGGCATGTAATTCGACGATTTGTCTTCGAACTGAGTAATTTTAAAACATGTCATATTATCGATTGATCCATCCAAAACTAAACTAAGTGATCCAAAATGAAAGGATCTGTGTGAACATAGATAGGGTAAAATATAATTACTGTCATTGGGTGTATCGTTCTTTTTGTAAGCTGTATAAATATGTCCGAAAAATGTTGGAACACTTGGGACATAGAGTGTATCCGGACAGGTCTTGATTATTTGAGGCATACATTCGCTATCGATATCATTCAATTCATCCAGATTTTCTGGATTCGGAAAGCCAAGGTAGCATTTAAAAGCCGACCAACATTCGTCTGAGACGGTTGGATCTTTGACTGAAAACATGGATTCAGCGATGAGATAGTCACGAAAGATGATACAAGATTTGGACAAGAATGTTTTATCACATCTGATATCATCGTATCCAAAAGCCGGTTCAAAATGATAGTCTACGGGAAAGTCTTCATGATCCAATGCCTTCTCGTCCGATCTGTCAACACAATCATACACTTTTTGATCATCCCCAACGAATTCATAAGGTATACACTGTCCAATGTCGCACATATATTCATTTGGTCCACAGTCATGAAATTCAAGTTGCCAACAATGTTCTTCATCAGCGTTTCCATCCAGACAATCAATTTTTCCATCACAAATTTCAGTCCAATCTAAACATGCAGCTGAATAACCACGGTTGCACTTGATATGTGTATAACAAGTCAAATTCATTATGAGATCACCACGTTCATCGTAATAATCATAGATCAGTTCACTTAGGGAGGAATGATCCTCGCGGTAGTTATATAATTCATATTGACACATTGGTCCGAATCTTGGTAGTGTACAATTATAAAATATCCATGTCGATAAAGAGAAATCTTTTGTTTCTAAATAGATTTTATATTGCTCAATAGTATCGATGGGTGTTGACCATAAATAAAGATCTTCACAAGTGATATTCATTTTCTCAAGATCAGGGAAAGAAAATGTTCGCAATGAGGAATCGATTTCAATATGAAATTGGAAAGATGATTCGCTCATACAATAAGATGAGATTTGTCGAGTAAGACTCGCATATTGCATATTGGAAGCAAGTTGGAAACAATTATATCGTGCACCTATGCCATCGTTATATTCATTTTCACTTACTTTATTTGTTGTAAAATGAAGATTCATTTGTAGTGAAGCTGTAGTCAAATGAATGAAAATTAAACCGAGGAAATATTTCACTTGAGACATTTTGCTTTCATACAGAATACAATTTCAAAAACAAATGAATCAAATATTAGATGTTGATAGTCTGTTAGGCTTTTGTTATGATTAATATAGTTTGTTCTGTTCTAGCAGAAGTTAGTGCTTCTAAGCAGATGTGCTATTTTCTTCGACGCTAAATGACGTACTTCTACCAACAGCACATATCAAAATATTCATGTAAAAGGAAGAAAAAAGGTTCTGAAATTAAAATCAAGTCTAGCCCATCTGTCTTAATAATTCACAAGTAATATATGTATCGACGTCATGAAATGACTAGTTGATGTAAGTTTTTCTTTTCATCTTTCTAACTGTCGTTCTGAGATAGAGTATGAGTATAAATGTTCTTATACAAGATTTGTATGGATATCCAGATCGATAGTCACACCCACAGTCAGATTAAACTCAGGTTTTTAATTGTTCTTTGTCGAAATTTAGTGTGTTAGCTCGAACATTTGGACGAAGCAGACACGCATGGTGCCAACGCGTCTGCTCTCGGTGAAAACTCCTTTCGGTTTGCTTACTTATAAATTTTATAATAAGGTTTTCACTTATTTTATGATGAATACTAATCAAATAAGGAAACGATCTATAACTTTATTTTCTATTCCTTTTGACTTTAAATCAACTTAAGTAAATGTCTTGATATGAAAAACCCAAACACTTTCAAACCCATTGTGAGAAAGCATCTTCTTTGTAGGAGCTGCATATCCCTACTTATTTTACTTATTTGGATATGGCCTCGATGCCACACCAAAAGCTTAACTTGCTGACTCATAAAAACTCTGGTGTTGATATGACTTTCATGAAACATTTGTGTAAAACTCTTTCCGAAGAGTTTTTGATAACATCGAGACCACCGGAACGAGTTTTCATTGATGAAAGACAGTACACATCATCATCAATGATCACCAATGGATCAGTTCTGTGTCCTGAAACTTTATGAACGATAATTGTTTGAAAATAAACTCATGAAATAAATCGTTTTACCGATGAGAAGAGGAAGAAAATGAAAAATATCACTTGAGAAATTGTTTCCAAAAGAAGTGTTTGTTTTCATATTTGAGACACGAAACGTTTTCGTTCTTAAGAGTAGTCTCAAATTTTAGGTTTCTTTGGATCTTTTTCTTTCTTTTCTTAAATATTTGTCAGCTTAGACAAACGACGGAAATGAAAACGCGAAATTTTTAGTGAAATAGAAATCTACCCTGCACTGAGAAAGAAATATTTATATGATCATAAAGAAAATCATCATCACACTTTCAGCAAATCGCGAAGATGAAATGGCAAGTGCGTGTATTTCCACTTATTAGTTGGTTAGTTATCATAAAACACTTATGTCGAAGATCAACTGTACTATGAAAAACAGTCTCGTAAGAATCATTAAGATTCACAATGCAGACGGAAAGAAGTTTAAGAAAGACAACTGCTATTTAACAACATACCCCTACGATGTTTTGAACATTACAAATATTATATCAGAATAGTAGAGAGCAAAGCTATGTCAACGAACCGATAATCAAGTCTTATGAATAACTATCAAAGAGATACCTATGTTGCCAGTCGATTAGTATTTCGCCGGCTGAACGTTCTAACACAAAGTTTGGAAAAAACTCAAATGATCGAAACTTTCAAGTTGATTTTCAGAAGAACTTTTGCTTAAATAACGTAAATATTCGACTATTTTATCAATTATTTGTTGCCGTCTCAGCAATATAATACATATCCCGCAGATCTAGCGATGCCTTTAATGATGGAAGAGATGGTGTGTCTTTCACTGAAGACGTATTTTAAGGATGTCAGTGAGCGTGTATATATGAGCACAGGAAGGGTGACCTCTCGCACCTTTCAAAGTATCTTCAGCATTCTCGATCTAGAAAATGTGTGACTTCACTCATTGTAATAGTGTAACAATAAAAAAATAATTGAAATGTGATCAATGAGACACAGTTGATCGAAAATTCCTCTGATTTAAATAAAAGAATGATCATCAGTATCTGCTCATATAGAACATAGAACATCAACGGAAGCTCAGTCAGAATAATTAACAATGCCAGTACCACTGATATCCTGTGAGAATATCTAGCACCATGTCATTCATATAAGTTGATACAATCGTTAACATTCTGATAGTGTGAGCTCGTTGAATATTTTTCTTTTTAGACATTGTTTTTAGGCAACAGTTGACCATGAGTTAAACTTGCCACAAAATCCAATTTCTCATAACTTTGGTGAGCGTCTTTTGAATAAGATCAAGCAGAAATGATGAATGAATATATGAATTATTGAAAAATAATCATTGGCATAAAATACAATGTGAAACAAAGAGAAGATGGTAACACGGATGTGAACAATGAAGAAGAGAGATACAGACGAAAGAAGAGAAAATATAAAGAGAGAGAATGTTCATACCATTTTCTAAAAACCATAAATTTAAAAGTCTCCGTCAGATTCATAGTAATCCGATGAGTCCTCATCCGTACTACACTCAAAATAGCACTTTTCGAGTGATGGATTCTGTTCGTCAGTGTTGATTTGATATTTCTTTTTATTCGGATCAATCAGCTCACGAGCCTTTTCTAAACCTGGTGACGTAAAAATTTGACTTGTTTTTTCAAAAACAAATTCTTGTTCTTCTCCTCCAGATGAATAGGCTTCTGTTTTTCCAGTCCTGACGTGCTTATAGCCAGGATAACGATCTTTACCAAATATTCTGAAACTGCGTTTTCTAATCAAACGATAACCAGCTGCAACTGATCCCGAAACAATTGGAATTTCCTGTTGTCTTTTCTTCCAATAATCACCACTTTTTTGCATTAGAGTGACATGGACTCTATCACTGAGTAATTGTAGCGAAGAGCAAGCTTGAAAAAATCGACAGATTGTGGGCTGAAATTCTCCTCTTCGAGTAGACTCACCAAAGGGACAATTCCATTGAATACGCTTAAATTTTTTCCCTTTGAACGTCAGATGAATGTGCTCAGCGTTAATACCAAAAAGCACAGTGACACCACACTGTTTGAGATCGACTATTCTTTTTTCTAGTTGTTCTTTATCGCCAGTTGAAATACAGGTCAAATGTGTAGCTGTCCAATCTGAAGCAATAATGGCTTTAGGTAATTTTGGTCGAGTGGCTTTATGCTTCTTGATAAGAGCCTCAGTAAAGGAAAAATCCCCTTCACCAATCAATAATCTTGTTTTACAATTTCTGTCTTTTAGTTTGCTGGGTAAACTCTCCATACTTCCGGTTAGCATCAACAGATCGAAACTGATTCTCCTTGCGAATTGTTTGTAAGGGGTCGTTTCAAGATACGAAACAAACATGTCGTAGAGTTCCTTGGAATCAGGCTTCATGTTCCTGCATTTTTCGTAAAAACGCCGAGCTTGATACAAATGATTTGTTTTAATAGCAGCTTCTGCACCAGACAAATATAACCGATATAGTTCTTGATGGTTTGAATTGTTACCCAAATAAATTTGTTCTAGTTTAGAATATAATCCCATATCAGCTGGATTATGTTGAAGCTTCAACTTAAGTAAATCAATTTGATAACTCTCATTTTCTTCCACACCTCGCATTTGTGGTTTGAGAATGTGAATAGATTCAGAATATTGTACAGCTACTGAACCATCGCTTAACTCTTTTAGCAAGTCGACTTTATATGCTGTAGGTAATCCTTCAGCAATATCTGGCCATGTAGTTCTTCCATCGCCAGTAACAATATGAATGCCTGAAGGCGTAGAATTTGTTGCATACATAACAGAACCGTCGGACAACGTAATCATGCAAGTGATGTACCATCTCCCTGCACGTTCAACACTTTGATACTCGTCTTGATCGTTTCCCGAAATGAATTCAAGTCGTTTATTGCTGTCCCTACAGTACACTAACGTACCTGAGTTTAGAATAGTAATATTGGTTCCAATCGCTGCTTTGGTGAAATATGAGACGTACGAAACATTTTTTGTTGATTCAGGAACATTTCCTCGCGCATCGAACAGCGTTCCTGTGCCATCTTCATTTTTGACCAAGAATTTTGCATTTGGAAGAATGTAAACATTTGTAATATTGACACCGAACAAACGTAACTGTTCGTACTGCTTTATGGTTCGATTATACTCCAGGAGAATTGTCGAATTCCTACTCTCAATTATAATCATTCCATTATCTAACACATTCAATTTTTTATTAGTAATTTTTTCATCGCGAATGGTCCTTTTCGACTTCAAATCAAACAATATTCCATCGTTTTCTTTAAACTGGATCAGACAGACATCAGAACACAGGAAAATAATAGTTTTAATTGCCATTGTCTGCTCTGTTTCTATAGGCTGATCTGACGTAAATAATTGTCCTCGTTCATCCCCTACAACCAAATCACCTTCCAGATTCTCTGCTAACGCAGTAATGTTTGTGGTTTGATATGAAATCAAAACATATCTGTTGGTAACCCAATCCCACGTAGTAACAGTATTTGCGTAAGCGTAACTAATAGTATTATTTCTTCGAGGAATCCATAAGCAACTGTCAGGTACCATACGAAAATTATTTTGTGTTTTTTTATATATTTTATCTTTGGGTGGAATTTGTCGGAAAAATACTTTTTGCGAAGGTGTTATTTCATAAATTGGACAAAAGTGAAAATTTCGCAATAATTGTTTTAAGTTAACAGCTATCGAGGGTGATTTGCATTGATAAAATACATTCGGTAAATCGACAGCCACTCTTCCATTAACATTTGAAACCTCAGCTTGAACTTTTTCATTGTGTAGAAAGAATTTGATCGTTCTATCTGGTGAAGCATGAATTCCAATGAAATCAGAAGATTTCTGTGATGCACTAGGAACCGACTGATCTTCACTTAAGTCTTCTGTTTGAGTTGGTTTAATAAACTGCGAAGGATCTTTCGACCGGTTTTCTTCCATAAAGTAATTCGTCGTTTGTAATGAACAATAGAATATAGAAAAAAAACTGCAGAAATGTATATAAAATTACTATTTAAAGTTCGGTTTCGTCTTCAGTATAAAACCATTATTTTAACTCTGACTAAATTTAAGAACAATTAGATTTAAACATTTCAACTCTATAATATTTTATCTGGAAAAATACTGACGAAAACTAAGCTTGGAGAAGCATCGATATAGGACGATTGATAAAAAATACGCACACCATCAGGAAAGTATTCGGTGAATTAAAGGAACAAAACTCTCAGTTAATACTATTCTTTTTCGTCCGAGTTTTATTGCCTATAGAAAAGTCAAAGTAAATCTGTAATTTTTTATCTACTGTATTACTACAAATGCTCAACAAGTGTATTTAAAGAGGTACATAAAGTGTCTGTCACATTAAAAACTATCGTATGAAGTAACTTATACTCTTTAAAAAATTTGTAAAACTACGTTTCAGTTATATATTTTTCTTTCTTCTACGTTCCTTTTGTCTCTCGTATGACGCCAACAAGAAAACATGCGTCGATCATTTATTCTCTTCTTCTTCTTTTTCTGTTTCAAAATGAGGAGCATCAGATTTTTGTAACTACAACGACTGTTTTGGAATAATTTAACTGCTCACTAGGCTTTTTCTATTTTTGTCGTCTTCTTGTTCTTCACTTTCGCAATATCATTTACGTCTCTAGTGTTTCTTCTTTTCTTTCTGAATGAATCATTAATCATTGAAAAAAACATACCAACTTGAATGAATGAAAAAAGTTCGCCCGATAAAAATTAATGAAATGTTACAATACGCGAAAATGCCGTATTACATCTGATTAGATTTTGTCGATCAAACTAATACAACTAAAGGAAATTGGATCAGAAATATCTGTTGATCTATTAAATTGTAAATAAAATTGTATGAGCAATCCGTGGTGAAATTGGTAAATCTGGTAGGTAATCAAGATTTTTTCGCGATCCAGCCCTCCTATAAAATCTCCTCTGTAATAAAAATGGTACTAAATAAGGAGATAAACGAACAGCTAAGCGAATAACTGTTCGCAATTGGTTCGTTCTCCTGGAATATTCATATAAAAATGAACGATAACGAGTCTTATTATTTGACCTGTGAAAGTACAGAACTCAATTTTTGCTGCGAACTTGTCTTTTTAGTACTTGAAAGGGTTCCATTTCTCGATCTTCAAAAACAAGTGACGTTTGTGAAATAGAATTCTCGTAAAACTAATTATTTAATTTTGAGATTCTATTGGATATACCTTAAAAGATTGATCAAATGACACTGTTAGGGCGACATCACGTCGTCCTGCTCTCTCTTCATCAGATTCTTTCTCGCCTTGGTCCTCGTTCGTGTATATGTACACCGTTTTCTGTATTAAACAGTAGTTAGAGAATAAACTCGGACGAAGATCGTCCACACTACCATCTCCCGTCTTTCTCTCTAACAATTGGCGACCCTGGACAAAAAACAAAGAAAACAAAAGACACGCCGCCGATATATGTACTTTTGTTTTCGCGTCGAACAAACAATAAAATTATCGTCTGATATTACATTAATTAAATTGATATTTTATACCGGAGCCTCACAGTATTAACAGAGACTCCACCCATTGCAAATTCTAACACAAATTTTAATTAATCGAAAACACACAGAGCCTTCAAGAGAGACTCGATTCATACGTAAGATAACAAAGAAGAGATTATCTAACGATATCGAATTCTTACATACATTGCATTTATTAACACATAATACATTTATAACTCATCACAACCGCAAACACGGCACTCGGAACTCGATCGATCGTTAAAAAACACACGAAGAGATTAGTGCCACACAGTCTTATAACTAACAATTTACTGAAAAAACCCCGTCGGAAGTCACAACGCACGACCTACACACCATCAACATTCACATTTCAACTTTCACTCGGTCCAATGACTGACTCCACAATTTTAACACAAGCGCGAAAAGCTCGCTTCGAGGATTTAACCAGCTTTGCCGGACATCCATCAGAGGATGCCGAACGGTTTCTAAAAAGCATAAAAAACATAACGAAAGCTACGGCAGAATCCACCAACCTTGAATTACTCGAAATTGTTCGAGGAAAGTTAACACAATCAGCCGGAATATGGTTCGATAACAACGAAACAAAATTCAAGAAATGGTCCGATTTCGAATCGGCATTTCGAGATCGATATTTCTCGACCACCATTACCCCCAAGAAATTCGAACAGTTGAAACAACGACAACAGAAACCTGNAAGTAATAACCTCGTCGCCAATGTAAATCTGTGCAGATTTGCTTGAAGGAAACGCGTTTCAACTTTGTTGTTGTTTTATTGATTAAAACAAAACAAACGGAAAACGAAACGCTAACGAACGAACGAGAAGAAAAAAAACGTTCTGTCTAGGTTGGTTGTGAAACACACACACCACGAGACAGAGAGAACAACTCGTGGGAAAATCCACGAAAGAAAAGAAGAGAGAGACGAAAACACTCGGACATATATATATATGTGCACGAGCGAAAACGAGAGAAAAACAAATGCGTCATAGAGACGCGTGATGAATGTACGCAGACACTCTACAATTTCGAATCAGCATTCCGCGACCGATATTTCTCAACAGCCATTACCCCAAAAAGATTTGAACAATTAAAACAACGACAACAGAAACGTAACGAATCTATCACCACATATTGCGACGAAACCATCAACCTGTGCCGCGAAGTGGACCCAGCAATGCCTGATTCCACGATTATTCAATACTTACTTAGCGGACTCGATACGAATATCCGAAAAGAACTTTCCCGTCGCGAATCAGCAATGAATTCGTTAACAGAATTCTTGAAATACGCAAAAATCGAACAGGACTTGAATGACACATTCAACCAAACCACTGCGTTATCACTTAACCAACAGCAGCCGTACTTCGATCACCACAGGAACTGAATCCATCATTTACCGCAGCGATCTATCCGAATAAATCTCGATATGGTAATCCGATACACAAAGATCGCCAACGACAACCGCAGAGCTCTCGCTTACAGCAGAACTCGACATATACTGAAACACATCCATCACGAACACGAATAAATTTTAAAACAGGAGAATCGCGAATTACAAATCCAAAAACAACATCATATGCATATACAGCATGCAAAATATACAGCCGAACGAATCATCGAACAATCGACTGCTTTCATAAACAACCGAATGGCTGTTTCAAATGTGGAGCAAACCACATCATCCGCGATTATCCTCAGCTGTCAAATTTTCAATAAGTGAAGCGCAGGACGGCGATGACTCCGGTAACTTCATCAAGCCATCAACGTCCCCTGTATATATCAAAACCCTCGTTAACAATCAACCCACACAAGCAATCATTGACACGGGTTCCGCTATCTCCATTGTTCATTCACATTTCCTTCAAACAATTCGTCACAAAACATTTATTTCAACGTCTCACAAATGTCAAACAGCAAATTCAACACCTCTTGATATCATCGGCCAAATCGAACTAGAACTCAAAATTTCCAACATCAAAACTACCATCATTACACACGTCGCAACAAATTTAATTACACCAATCCTATTAGGTAATGACTGGATTAATCCGAATCGAATACACTTATTTGGTGACGAACAACGACTAACAATTCCTGATCGACATAATCAACGGATATCAAT